CGAACCCCTCCTCGACCTCCTCCTCCTCCTCCCACCCCTCCTAACCTCAACCTCCCCCCTCTCCCCCGAATCCGCCACAATCCTCCTCTCCAACCCGCCCTTCACCGACTTCCAATTCCTCCTCCCCCACCTAGGCGACCTCGTCTCAACAACCCTCCACACCTCAGCCGTCTCCCTAGCCCGCATCGCAAACCCGACAACGAACCCTTCCTTCCTCCACCGCGCCGTGCCGGGCCTGCAAACAACATACCATAAACTCGAATCCGACGTCCGCGAATCAAAACTCGCTTTGACTCGAGAACGTCTCCGTGCGGCGGATACTCTTACCCGGTGTCTGGACGAGCACACCGCTGCGTTGACGCTCCTGGTTAGAAGCCTAGAGGCCAAACACGGCGTCGTGGCGCGGAGTCTCGAGTTTCGGGCTGCGGAGACGGGGTTGGCGGCGCAGAGGGCCGAGGCGGATGCCGTGGGTGCGAGGGAGGGGGTTCGGAAAGAAGTCTATTCGCCAGAGATGGTGGCTGCGCTGACGAATTATTCTGCGCATTTGAGGGATGCGAGGATGAGGCTTGAGGGGACGATTATTACGCTCCGGGCTGAGTTGGAGGGGTACGGGGTTGGGATTGAGGGGGAAGAAGGCAAGGCGAGGACGATGAAGGAGATGGCGAGGAAGAAGAGGCAGATGGAGAGGGAGTTGGAGGATGCGAGTCGGGACTTGGCGAGGTTGGATAGGGCGTGAGGAAGAACCCATAGCCAAGAGTGAAGAGGCAGAGTAGTGTGTTTGTTCACAGCAAGCAAGCGAGCGATTGGATTGGACATGTTTACATTGAAAGACGTGTCGCTATATTGTACACAGCTGGAATGCATGTGTGGTCTACCAAGGGGTGCCAAACGCTTTCTATGTCCACCGGCCATTCTAACCTTGGCTGCGCAAAAGAGAAGACCTCTCCCCCTTTGGTTGTACAAAACCCCCTTTTTAGAAAACCAACTACCCTTTCAACAAAAACTCGTGATATCTCTTGGGGAATGCAAGCTAGCTCGGAGCATACAAATTGCCCGAGACTCGCGTTGGGGAAAAATCACAAACATTCACACGGGCAAGATTTAACCCTTGACCTTGTAGATGGACTCGGCGAGGCGGCCAACGTTGCCGCTGGTGATACCGGCAACGGAGATACGGCCGTCCTTGGTGGCGTAGACGGAGTGGTCGTTGGCAAGGGCGTCCATCTGGTCCTTGGTCAGGCCGGTGTAGGCGAACATGCCGATCTGGCTGGTGATGTGGGACCAGTCGTGGGCGGAGCCGAGCTTCTCGAGGTTCTCCTTGAGAAGGGCGCGCATGGTGATGATGCGGTCGGCCATGCCCTTGACCTCACCGAGCCACTGCTGGTTCAGGGAGGCGTCGTTGAGGATGGTGGAGGCGATACGGGCACCGTGGACGGGGGGGTTGGAGTACAGAGGGCGGACAAGAATCTTGACCTGGGAGTCAAGGCGCTTGCGCTCCTCGGCGTCCTTGGCGACGATAGAGAAGGCACCGACACGCTCGCCGTAGAGACCCATGTTCTTGGCGAAGGACTGGGCGAGGCAGATGTTGTGGCCCTCCTTGACGAAGTGGCGGACGGCGAAGGCATCGGTGTTGGTGTTACCCGAGGCGAAGCCCTGGTAGGCCATGTCGAAGAAGGAGTAGTGGCCCTGGGCCTTGACGACGTCGGAGATCTCGCGCCACTGCTCGGGGGTAGGGTCGACACCGGTGGGGTTGTGGGCGCAGGCGTGGAAGAGGAAGATGGAGCCCTTGGGAGCGGCCTTGATGTCGGCGACCATGCCCTCAAAGTCGAGGCCGATGGTCTTGGGGTCGTAGTAGCGGTACTTGTTGACGGTCAGGCCCGAGTCGTTGAAGACGGCGCCGTGGTTGGCCCACGAGGGGGTGGGGATGTAGATGTTCTTGGCGCCGGGGAAGAAGCGGGCGAGGAAGGCGCCGCCGATGCGCAGGGCGCCGGTGCCGGAGATGGACTGGGTGATGGCGAGGCGGTCGAGGGCCGAGGAGTCGGCGCCATAGGCGAGGACGGCGGCGGACTTTGTGAACTCGGGGACACCGGTGATGCCGGCGTACTCCTTGTTCAGCTTGGCGGCGATGACCTTCTCCTCGGCGGCGCGGACGGAGGGGAGGACGTAGGGCTTGCCCTGGTCGTCGCGGTAGGCACCGACACCTGTTGTTTGTCTGCGTCAATGGGCATGTTCATTGTGTTGATGGTAGTAGATGTTGTGTGTTTGCAGCTAGCAACTGACGGCCGGCTAGCGTTGTAGCTAGCAAGCTTGTGACAGCTCTAGCTAGAGTGGTGGTGGTTGTGGTGGTAAAAGTGGCTTGGCGGGGGGTTTATGCGTACCGAGGTTGATCTTCTGCTCAAACTTGTCGGCCTTGAAGGCTTCCGTGATGCCTGTTTGTCTATTGTCAGTCATGGAATTGAGTCAACCGGCGAAGCTTAAGAGAGCTCCACCGAGGTAGGTGCGTCATACCGAGAATGGCCTGTTCATTGCGAAAAAGTGGCCAATTAGCAAAACAGTTCTTCGTGATGATTGTCGGGATCCTATCAATCGGCGCATTTCGGACTTACATCCTGCGGCATTCGTTAGCAATCGTGGCGCATTCAATTGGCATCTGGAGTGTTTGAGACATACAGGAGGACCTTGAGGGACGTTGGCCCAGGTAGAACCGGCTCTTGCGGCCGTCACGGGCAGAGCGCCCATGCGGCGGGCGGCAGCTTGCCGGGTTGCGATTCTGGCAGAGGACAGCATCTTGATTGTCTTTCTTTTTCGGGGATGGGAGAAAAAGAGGTGTGAATGAGAGAGAAGAGGAGGAAGAGAGATGTGGTTGAGAGGGGAAGGAAGAGAAGGAGAAAAGACGTAGCTTTCTCTGTTGGCCGGCAGAAAAAAAAAGGATCCCAGTGAGGTAAGGACCAAAGGTCTCCAAAGATTCCGAGACAGCGAAGTGCCGAAAGAGCTGCTGGCTGCTGCAGACGGGTACGAAGTACAGTCACACGGGGTGGTTGCAGGACTACGGATACAGCCTACGAAGTACAGGTGGTCTAACCAAGGAATGGGCTGACTTGTGACTCTGCCAGGTGCGTCTTGCCCATCGTTTCTGCCATCTGGGGCTTTCATGTGCTGGGTGCTTGGCGACCAGCCCTGAATTCAATCCAGTCACATCCCAGAAGTCTCTCATAAACCAGCGTGGACCCCCGGTGCGGTGCGACTCCGGACCTGGAGAAGGAGAAGAGGAGCATCGTAAGTGGACCGAGTCATGAGAGGACCCATCCGCATCGTGCAATCGTGGGGGAGCGGATTTACTGTATCGCCGTTTACCCGCGTCTTTTGGTATGTGCGACCAGCAACTCCCACAGGGGAGGAATCCCGACGCGCCTTCCACGCCCTTGACGCCTTCCACGCCCTTGACGCCTTCCCCCGGCCCGCTGTTTTTTGACTGGAGCGCATGCGCAACTTGCGCAACGACTGAACCCGTCCCTGGTCCTTCCGGCTTCGGATGTCGCCGCGGTTGACCGTTCTCAGCTCACTTCTTCTTCCGCTCGACTCAAGCAGGAGCTTCGTCATTCAAGGGTGAAAGATGCGCTAATTGATGCTTGATTCTTCTAAGTGGAATATTGCCCGCGGGCCCTGTGCTAAGTACTTGTGCCCATTACATAATCATATCATACTGTGCTGGGGGGTGTGGTACCCGCTTCTCAAGGGGTCAGGGACTACCGGACTGGTAGTCAACTGTCTCGGGCGGTGTGTCTCTCTTTACCTTTTAGCCTTTTGCAGGCTGATGCGCGCTAGCTACTTCTATTCGCTCGCTTCAAAGGAGTTTCACCTGTCTTGGGGTTTGTTGTTTCTTTTTGCTCATTCTTCTATTCTCTCTGCCTCTTTTGAGTCTTTGGCACAGCTGGAAACGGTCCTGCCTGGCACGTGTCTGGTGCAGTGTTCTTCAAGCTTGGGCGGTTGGAATTCCCCTTTTCGGACTTTGCTGCTGATGTTAAGCGACATCATCTACGTAGTACGGATAGTTAGCTTGCTCAGAAGAAGCAAGCATCGCCATCAATTGCTAGAGCTGTCACGGCATTCTTCCATCGACCTCTGCAAGGGGCTCTACCTATGACTCCTCTTCCCCGGACTAAGGGAAGCATCGAATGCACCGTGAATGCGGACGAACGGCCCCTGGGGTGATGGTTCATGGCTGCATCAAGCCCCGTGCGAGCACGCCGTTGTTCGAATTGGCTCTTCAGCTTGACCTCCTGAAGAGCCTCACGACTCCTCACACGATGCCTTGTTAACGTCCTTTGCTGGTAGTAACTATCAATCCAAGCAACCTCCTCGTTTCTGCATAATCTGCCTATAAATATTAGGCAATATTAGTGCAAGGCGATCGTTCCATTTGGCATACAGCTTGAGTAGATGATGGTTGGTGCAAGCCCTTGTCGTTCTTATAAATCACCTAAGGTAGGTCTTCTGAGTCCATTTTGGAAACATCGTCAAGGTCATCCAAAAAAAAAAAAACTAAAAAAAACTCTGCAAAGGTCAGCTTGGGACCCGCCTGATGTAAGAAGTGTTTATGTGGTGCCAGAGTTGCCCAGCATACAGAAATTTAACATCACCCAAAGAAATATCCAATAATTTGCGAGGAAACTGAGGATGATCCAACATGCCTTGCTCTCAGAAGACTCAGAGCTGCACATTCATGACATCCAATCACAATGCCTCAGTCGCAGCGAATGGGAACGTTCCTCTCCAAAGGTGAGCCTTATCATTTTGAGCCCTCCCAAAGAAAGCACATGCCAGCCTGATCTTGACCCCTCACAAAACACCCGACAGCTTCAGCAGGGAGCCTGATTTCTCCATCTCTGTTGCCTTCACAACAAACAGCACGGTTGATCAAGGCCTTTCATCAACATCTCACCAATCCTCCAAAGAGTTGCCAAACGCTTCCGCATCATCGCTCACAGTTCCAACGGAATATGGCGGCTGAGAGCCTAGGCCTGGCAGCCTCAGTTGCCGGCCTGCTATCTCTGGGCCTGCAGATCACCGGCGGCATCGTCAAGTACATGGACGCCTTTGAGGGCCGTGAAGAGGAATTACGCAACGTCAAGAAACAGAATGACAGCCTGGCAGTCGCTCTCCGTGCAGTGAAGACGGCGTTGGCTGGTTTTCAAGACCAAAGCCCAGACATCATTATTGCGGTAGAGCAGAACATACGAAGCTGCGAAGTGGACCTCAGCGCTGTCGAGGCTCTGTGCGTTGAGCTTTCTGATCGTGCTGGCAGCACCTGGACGAGGCGGCTGGAGAACAACAAGAAGAAATTGACTTTTGCGTTCCATCGACCTAAGCTTCGAGACCTGGCTCAACAATTGCAACAAGCCCATGGAGCTCTGCAAACGCTGCAGGGTACCTTGGGACTGTAAGTTTAGTTTCTCCACCAGCACCGAGGTTTCTGACATCCTAGTAGGGAGAACTCGAACAGGAACACGACTAGACTGATGACCATCGAGTCAAATTCCCGCGATCAGGTTTCCGAAATGCTCCTAGTCCGATCAGAAGTGGCAGCACTCGCTACGCCAGTGGCCAACATCAATGAAAAGCTGCCAGGTCTACAAAGCAGTATGGATCGGACCGTTCAGCTCTTTGCGGCTCACTCCGGAGCTATGGCAACTGAGTTTCTTGAGAGCAGACATGAACTTCGACTATCGCACAACTCTATTGTAGAGGAACTTCAAATGATTCGTCAAAACTTTGGAAGACGACAGCTTCTAGAAGAAGAAAACAAGTCTCTGAGGGTTTTAGCTCTCGGAACGGCCTCCAAGCCAGCAATGCTCAAGAGTTTATGCGGTGACATGGAATTTTCAGGGAGGGATTGCAACCAAGACATTGCCTCGGACCTATCGAAAGTCCATTGGAAAGGAACTCCAGCAGAGTCATCACGGAACCCACGGACCGTTTTGAAAGTTAATAGACTATGTATCTGCCCGCGCCCTGAAAGATCAATCAGGCAAGTACAGATGCAACGAGGCTATACTACCTTGTCCGGCGAATGGGAGTCCCGAGGCCATTGGTCGAGTTGTCCACTTTCAACAATGCCGCGAAAGCAACGACTCAAGGCAAGTCGGAAGTACACCGGCATCTCCCGCCTTCTCAAATCAGTCATCGATGTTTCATTGGCGTTGACGTCAGGAGCTGGCGGCTACAGCATCAGTCCCAGCTTTACCTACTATCCAATTGTTGACGCCAAATCGGATCCCGCTTACCGCATCATCGACTTAATGAGGAAATCCACCGATCACTCACGTCCGCTTAGACGAAGTAATGAAGAATTCGCTACTGCCTGCTTAAAGAAGTTGGCAAGACTACTTGAAGAAAAGCAAACGTGTCCGACTGCTGTGGACGATCAAAACATGACATTGATGCATCATGCTGCTTTTTCAGTGCGTCATACATAACCCACTCATACTTGGGATCAAGATGTGGCTGAACAAACACATGTGTGGGACATATCCAAGATACCTTTATCTCCTGGGGCGAATGGCTTCCTGAAATCAGGACCTTCTCGGAAATTATCCCAATGCTACTCTCTTACGGTACTCCAGCCTATTCCTACGACATCAAAGGTAGGTACCGATGCTTCATCATAAGGTAACACGAATATGTTTCTGAATCATGGCAGGGATCTCACCCATACATCATTTGACATTTCAAAATCGCGTTTGGGTTGGAGAAGCCGTCGAGGTCTTATCACTGGCCAACTTGGATAGCCAGCCGGCCATCTTGAACGGGGTTTCCTCCGACATCTCCAACGATTGGATTGCGATAGATGGCAGCATACCGTCGTATGACAAGTTTCCGGAGGCTGCAACAGGTACCGTTCATTCATGAAGTTTCCCACATGATCTTGACTAAATAAGAAACAAGCCTCTGAATGCGGGCCTTTAGGCATGGCAGTCATTCGTAGCGATTTCGATGAAGTAGGCCGCGTTTTAAGTCGGTCCCCTGACTCAATAGCTGAACTGGATATCTATGGAAGAAGTCCGCTGCATCTTGCAGCAGCGAAAACGGAGATTCTCGAAACTCTAGTCAAAGTTGCGGATGCCAACATCCTCAACCAGCGCGACAAAACGGGTGCTACTGCACTCGAGACGGCTATGCTTCTGAGCTCTGAGTACTGCGTCAACGACCGGAACTACGAAAGATGTAAACGTTGTTCCTGTTATATTTGCGTGAAGTACCTTCTCGACGCTGGCTGCGACATACGGACGTATGGAATGAGGGATGCGGCTGGTAATGTGCCAGCGTTGGATATTCTCCTTGGGGATGCATCGGAGCGCGCTCGGCGTTGTTACGTCCTCCGCATGGAGCAAGCCCGAAATCCAAGAACTCCAGAAAGAACCTTGCCAAACAAAGGTCTTTGCGAAAAGCGAAATACCGGGGAAACAAGGCCGATGAGCGGCATTTCGATCGGAAGAGGTCGAGATTTCCAAGAAAGCCTGTTGCAGGCCCCCCAAAAATTGCAGGTTTGGGCTGAAGCTGACCAAGCCACCGGCTGGGACTGGATATTCCATGAAATTGACACCATACATCTAGCTGAGTTATTACGTCGTCACGGATTTATGCCCGGTTCATCTGTCTTCCTTGACCTTCGACTGCGAGAGAATCGACTTCGGCGGTTCTTGGAACCACTATTTGTTTGCTGGCTGGTAGACCATGGAGGAGATGTGTTCTTGCGATCGCCCGTGGGCCCCATCAACAGGACCGCCGATGACTCAATTTTTGCCGCGCACTACGTCTTTTACCTTCTAGGCACCATGTCCGGGAACTGGTTGAGATCTTGGAGGACAGAATTGAGAGCTGCAAAGTCGGACGCCTTCGAAAAAGTGATGACCACTGTGACTGGCCGCAATCTTACGGATGGCTGTTGCTGTCCTTGCTAAGCGAGGGGGTGCGTTCCATTTACATGGATGATGAAAGGCTTTGTTAGATTTTCGAGCATTTCGGACAAGAATTTTCTCTCCAATTACATGGATAAAGTGGTAGAGCTCTATAGCTCATGCGGCCCGGAGATGACACTCTTAAGTTATGCTGAAGCAATCAGGTTTATGACCTTCGAGGCCCTGGGTCTCGTTCACAGCTACTGCGACGCACATTCCCTGACTTGTATGGGGTCGGATTGGATTGACATAGACCATACGGAGATCATAGAAGATCAACATCTACTAGTTGAATTGCTAGAAGAGTTGGTTGTAGATTTCGTGCAGGAAGCAGTGAGTATCTGGGGAATGGGTCGGATGACCGTCCGCTCTTCCCTTAGTTTTGGGACTCAAATTGGACGGAACGAATGTTGGATGAGTTGGAAGAGCTTGGTGGCAACGAATTGACCGAAGCAGAAAGACGAGGCGCAGAGGAACTTGGCGTCGAATGGCGTGGCCCGACTGAGTCTGGAAGCGATTACGACAATCCGTACGACGTGCATTACTTGGAGTACTACTTTTACGAGTTGTATCTAATTTGTCCCGAGTACAAGGAGCCATGGCCGGAAGGAACGCATCGCACACGTTGACACTTGGGGACAGAGAAGAATTGAGACTTTCCTGCAAGGCTTGGGAAAAGTGTCATTGGGAGCAATTCCGACCTTGGGAGTATTCATTGTCTCGACATTGTGAAATTTCAACTTGGAAGATGCTTCATGAGGTTATCTAGTGTCATCACAAAGTTTGCGCTTGGGCAGATGTCGAGTGTCTACAGTTCTATCGTCACTCATGTATGTAAATCAAATCTATTATTCACTACTCAAGGGTCCCGAAATCACATTACTTCAAGCCTTAGGGGGCAGCACCGTCGGCACGGGAGGCCGTGTCGTTGTTCTGGGCAATTCAGGCACGACAGGGGTAGGGATACAAGCACAAGCGCTGCTAACCCTTTCAACGGGGCTGTTGTCCTTGTTCTCGACACAAGCGCTGGTGGCATACTCTGGCAGCAGCTCCTCATCAGTGTTTAGTCGCCGAGTGAAGTTACCGCAAAACTCAATAGACTCCTCCAGGCGGTCCGGAATTGACGATGCCCTCAGAGCGCGGAGGCAGTTATCGGCATTGCAGACGGGCGCTTTGGGGCACTCCTTGGAGGTCATCTTGACGACGAAGCTACCGCGCTCGATGGTGTGGACAAAGATGAAGCCGGACTTGAAGTTGGCGAAGGATGACCAGGAACCGGCGAACTGGACCTTGCCGCCTCCGACTTCCTCGTCGTCTTCGGGGTAGATGTCGAAAAAGCCGGCTTCGCAGATGCTGGCTCCGGTAGGATCCTTGGTGACGCTGCTGACGTCGATGACATTTAGGCCGTTGCCGTAGTTGGACTGGTAGAGGTAACGGCCGACAATGTACTGGTTATGGTCGATGGAACGTGTCTTTCCGGCGTAGTGACCGGTGTACACGGGCTTCTCGAGGTCGCGAATGTCAAAGATGTGGGTGGTGGGAAGACCCTGGGTCATCGGGCCGACCTTGGCGTCACGCTCGTCGAACTCGTCGTCGAGGAAGATGTACTCTTGCCACGTCTCGTTGTTGACGACACCCTGGTGGACGTACTGAGCGCCGGGGTAGTCGCTAATGGAGATGATGTTCGTGACGTTGCCGGTCTTGTCAGTGACGTCGTAGATGGTCAAGGTGTCCTCGTTGTACCCATAGCAGATATCTCTACCATAGTAACGAGCATCGGGGCCACGGTAGACGAGGCACTCGGCGTCGTGGACATAGCCGTCGCCGGCAGCGCACCCGGGACTGGTGACGTTGGTGGGATCGCTGATATCGAGGAAGATCAACCCGCCGCGGCAGGGGAGGTTGTCTCTTACACGAATCGTCGCGTTACCACCGACAGAACCGCAAGCAATGGCGTAGTTGAGCTCTTGGTTGACAACGATGTTGTGGGTACGACCGACGGGAAGCTCATCCCAATGGCCGGTAAGCTCGGCCTGGGTGAAGTTCTTTGGGTTCGCGGGGTCGAGGTCGAGAATCTTCTTCATGTCGAAGAACTGGACGCCGTGCTTGATGGCTTCGGAGCCAATGACGGCAAGGTCGCCGACAATTCGGATTTCTCTCCAGTTTGAACCGATGGAATCGTACTGAGGCAGACGACCCAAGTATACCAGCTTGCCCTCTTTGCTGATTTCAGCAAAGGCAGTGCCGTCGTATTGGCCAATGGCGACGAATTCTCTTCCGTCAGCCGAAGTCCAACCCCAGGAAGAGGAACCTCTTCCACCCCAGCTGCCGAGCTGCTCGTGGGACAAGAAGTGGTACAGATCGATCTGAAGGAGGTCAGTTGATTTTTGGGAGGAGGCCCAATTGACTTACATTTCTGCATCTAAAGGTGTTGTTGAAGTCTCCGGGAACTGCGGCAGCGAAGCCGTCGACGCAGGGGGTGTAGCCGAGCTCGGGGTACTTGGCACTATCCATTAGACCAGCAGCAGCTTCCTCTTCCCATTGAGCCTAGTAGAACCGTTAGTAAAGTTGGATTGAGTCCAGATGGGCATGTAATTTTGTGTTCTCACCATCTTGATGCCCATGATGCGGTGGTGAACTGCACCGGAGGCATACTCGGCCTTGGTGCCAGCGCCAGCTGCGCTGGTCAAACCAACAATAGCAGAGCCCAAAAGGGCTGCAGAGTTGATGCGGACCATGCTGTTGATGTTCCTTTGAAGTGATTCCAAGTGAATACCACACTACTTGACGCAGACTTGACGATGGGACTAGGGGTGCTACAAGCTTCCTCAAGGCAGAGCAATCACTCGATCTTTAAGTACTTGATATCTCCAATCGCGTTCGTCATCATCCAAGACAAACTAATAAGACGGTCTTTCTTGTCCCCCGCATGGCAGACGTTGGTGTGGAGAATGCCATGGCAGTCATGATTTTAGGGGAGGCTGGCGAAATCCAGGCACGCGGCCTAACATCATGCCCATCGAACCCGAGCTGAGGGAAGCACCAAAGATTGACCGATACTACCGTAAACGCTTGGCCAATATGAAAGTACATGATAAGCAGAGCTTGGTTCCATACGATAGGGACCAAGCTGACCTTGGCGGTCTTGGCGACCCCAGCCGCCCAGCTGCGCAGCAACTGTCAATTTGGGCAAAGAAGTTCGCCGAGCACCTAGTTTCTCGAGCTGTCTGCTTCTGGAAGGTGATAAGTGGCTTGGCTACTTACGGTGATAGGCAGGTGCGTGGTATTGGGACTCTGACTGTCTGACATGACCGAGCAGTTGGGTCAGTTGATTAGGTTGAAAGGCGGGGGGAACTCTTGAGGTTGTTGATGAGCGATTTGTTGAGAGGCAAGTGTGTGGACGCCGCGATTATGCTTCTTGTCTCACTGCATAGGAACTTTGGGGTTACAGAGTCCTATAGGATTGGTAATGATTCTAAACAGGAAAGTTTGTTCGGCAAGGTCCTTTTAGACGGCTCTTCCAGTCTACGTGTCTGTTTGCCTTAAAGCCACGCCAGCAGTATGCTATTGGATTGTGAAGAGCTTTTGCAACTTAAAGCAAACTTCAAGTAGTAAAAATCACTGGTATAGTTAATACTCTCGTTGTTTCTCTTTGGGAAAACGATGGACACTGCCTGCCGAGGAAGAGTAGGAATATCTGAATGTATCACTCCGTCCCAACAAGTGGATGACAATCCGAGGAAATGCACCCAAAACATCATCAGAACATTGAGAAGTCGGAAGCCCGCAACCTCCAAATCCTCTCAAGTGATCTCATCCTCTGCCGTGGTGATGTCAGTGCGAGCTTTGCTTGACTGTGTCAGCCTACTTCATTTCTGACATAACTTAGCTCAACGGGATGATATTGTCCAAAACCGGTCCCCGAGTCCGAGCGGGTTCGGAGTTGGATGGGAGCACAGAGCACTCCCGCCCTCTAATACCGGAGCCTTCGCAGAGCCGCAAGTTAGATTGATCGACGGAGGAAACGTTTTAGCTTCCTGCGTTTGCGAGAACGCGGGGATAATTTGATTGCCCTTACATTAGTCCGTTGAGTAATCGCTGGGTTCCTCTCGGCCCTAAGGCTTAGCCTGGGCACCTACCAGAGTTTATTGCTCGAGTAGCTAGAAGGTTCTGACTGGACCCGACCTCCTTCGCGTTTCTCGGACGCCGTCTCGGTGCTGACCATCACTTCTCTAGGGGTCCCCTTCCAGGACTGAAGTTCTGCTTCCCCGTGTTGGCTCCACCGAGTCCTAAGAGGGGTTGTTTTTCTTCTCACATAGCCGCTTCCGGTCTGTTCTAGACTTCTACAGCGGGTACTTGCTTTTTCTCCCCTCGTTCTCTCCTAATCTTTTCCCGCTGTCTCTCGACCTCCGATCAAACCATGGTGCGGGGCACGAATCGTGTGATCAGATTAGGCCCGCCTTGAATTGCAGGACTGAACTCAAATGGGCAAAAAGGGTCATTGAAGTCTCCCGCAGATGCCTCATTAGGACGTCGTGAAAATCACAGATCAACCTGTCAGCGTTGAGGGTGCAAGACACGATAGTTGCTATCGACAGCACAGTTTGATATCATATTTACACAATTAGAACGCACGCGAGGCTGCTTGTCGGCGTCGGTATCGTATCTACCATTAAACCCGTCGAGGGTGTCCGCCCGGAGGTGACTCAGATCTTGAGCTCCAAACAAGATCATAATGTTGATCTGTGTGGTTTCCAATTCCGAGCCCTCGGAGGCGGAGGGCCCTAGTAGCCCACCACTTACGGCCAGTAGATGAACTCCGGTAGCGGCGTCTCAAAGTTTTGTAAAAGAGGAAGGAACGTGAGATGCGATAGGCGAACGTGATTTCATAGACCATGGTCATCATCTGTTCTTGCAGTCATTGCATCGGATGGCCAGCTTGGGCCAAGGGTCCAACAGCCTCCTGGCGACGGCTCAATGACTTCACCGAACCCGAGGAGGTGGATGTGATGGGCAGTCAAAAAAGCCCGACGACAGAGGCTTTCTCCGACTGATCCCCTATTTGATCAAATCTATGAACTCCAATTACACGCAATCGCCGGCGGGGAACCTTGGCGGTGGTCTAGACAACGAAAGACTAATCGATCCCCCTCTTTCAGCCGATGCATGGCAGAAACTACCCATCGTCTGGTGGCAGTCACTCTCTCTATAGTGACGTCGAGTTGAAAGGGGGAGATGGAGGGTGCATCCAGGACTCTACGAACGTTGCATAGCGAAAGCGACATCCCTATTTCATCACATCCCACCAGTGGCCACCCTCTTCGATCACGAATGGAGGGTGACAGAGCAGGTAAAAACCCCGTCAGTCCCGAGGGGGGTGCTAGGCATTTATTCGCGGCTCTTTTTCTCAAGGCGTCCATATGACATATGGACGGCAGGGTCAGCAGGTAGGTTGACGAAGTCCTCCCCTGTAGGTGACGACTTTAAAAGTATAAGTCGCGAGTCTACTCAGAAACATCAAGTGTCTGATTGGTCAAACATGTAAGATGGTGTCCAGAGCCTCCCACCCAACCGCGTTTCATGAGGGGGGCCTCAGCACCAGTTCGCGGGGAGCCCATAGTTCCCCACGGGGCCCCCAACTTGTATGCTTGTATGGGGTCAAGGGCATGGATTCGATGAGAAACTTTGTGGTTACAGACTGAACCCCGCGTGGCATCATGCTCGACCCTTGTCGCCGCCCAGAGATTTGGGATACCCGCCGGCGCGATGGCCCGTCACAAAGTCACCGATTCTGTTGATTTCGGCTCTTTCGTCAATTTGGGGTCAGTCTGGCCGTTACCTCATCTACCCTTAGCCCTGTTCGACTATCAAGAGCCGTTGACATTGTAGCTGAATTTGCCTCGGCGTCACGGCTCGTGAAAGTCTCATTCTGAGTATTTACGTGATGGACCGTCCCACGATATTGTCCGACATGCCCGAGCTGAAGATCCCAAAGCAGACGATTACCTATCACGGGTTTATGCCACTACCATCTTAGCAAGTTTGCCCCATTCGTTTACTTTCCGACCTATCTCAAATCCCCTATCAAGATGAGGCTCGACAATCTTCTATCATTCCTTCTTTGCCTCGCCGTGGCTAGTGCCCAGATGGCCATGCCGATAACAGAGGCAAAGGGCCGCGGCGGCAGAGACAAAGACAAAGGAAAGGGAGGCAAGGGTGATAAAGAGCCCGTCAGAGGAGGAGCCTCTGCCCTTCAGAGCCGTATCACAGATCTTAGAAAGAGGGTTGCCGAAGCCAATGATACAGTTGTGCCCTTCGAGGGAGGCACACTCAAAGGCTTGGTGGGGCTGCTGAAAGTTAACGAGGCGATTGTCACCCTTGGAAGTACCATCGATGTCAGCACAAAGGCCGCAGAGGCCACCAACGCCCTGCCGGCGAACGAATCGTAAGTCGCCGTTTCCTGAAATTCTCCGATGAGAGATCGGAATGTCTGTGCTAACCCTGTCACTTAATACAGGACTCAGATTGGCACACAGTTCCTTGGCCTTCAGCCGGAGATCAACAACTTGTTGACTGAGGTTCAAGGCAAGCGCGCAGAATTCGACAAGGCTGGCTTCCGGATCTTGGATGTGAGGAGTCTCATTCGTGACTCTGTCGTCATTCAGAAGGACAAGGCCGGTGACTTGGGCGGTGCCGTAAGTTAATTTCGTGTGTGACGCGATAGACTACACGTCTAACTATTACGCAGTTCACCAAAGCTCTCGACCCGACATTCCAACCTTTTGCTACACAGATCAGTGACCAGATCCAAGGTAACTTCACCGCCGCCATCGACGAGTACGATGGTCGTGCCGGGAAGATCAAGATCCCATCCAAAGCCGTCCCCGTGCTGACGGATCTTCTTGCCGGCGTGGCTAGAGCACTGGGCGTCGGCGGCAGGAACAAAGCTCTTGCGGGACCTGTCACCGAAGCTGAAGCCGCGTCTATTCCGATGACCAACTATGCCAGTGCGGAATCTGCCTTTGCGGATATCGGTGCCGCTGATACACCCGAAGCGAACATCGCCGCCCAGGAAGCCCTAAGGGGAGGTGATGACTTTTCCAGACTTGACCCAGATGAGAACGATCTCCGTGGCATTCCGCCATTAGTTCTCGCTGTCCTACGCAGATACGAGATTATCTAAAGAGATGAGATGGATGTTTTGAAGCGAAGGTATTTTCTTGGCTGCTTTTAAAGCTACAGTTTTGCGGCAACGGTTACAGTTCTCAGGCGCGAATGATGAACGCAGTAATGAATCTACGAACCTTCTAGTTATTAGTTAATACCCTATGAAGAATACACGGGTCAAATTCTGAACTTTACTGATTGTAGTCACTTGATCGGTCTGTTTATTCGCTATGAATATAATTCCAAGCTCCTGTTTCCAAACGGCGAAGTACTTAGATTCTTCGATACCTATCACTTGCGTACTGCATGGGGGCTATGAAAGCTTGATCAAAGACAAGCCCTGTTCATCGCCAAGGCGGCGAGTCTTCTTGACCTGCGACTATTGGCAGGAATCCGCTATTTTCGAACTCTTGGAAGCCCCGCGCGTGCTGGCGCCGAGCTTTTGGCCTGCTATCACCGACGGTATTAAACTCGGACGGCATGTGAGTTTGCTAATCCAGGAACAAACGAGTTTAGTTTGAGCTGCCCCTCACGCGGGGCACTTCCGATGACGGGCCAGTCAGCATTGCCGACGACCTCTGCATTTTGAGTTCTGTTCACCTGACCCTTTTACACCTGCATCTGGTCTGCGAAAACGCGGAAGCAACCCGAGCTAGGCCACATTTAGCCAAAGAATTAAAGTTGCCATCTTGGCTTGCTGATGGTGCCGATGTACAAAGACCTCGGATAAAAAAGAGGGGAAATACTCGAGGAGAAGTCTGAAGGAGAAGGGCCAAGAAGACAAAAAGAAAAGAAGCGTCCCCTCAAGCGAAGAAGGGCTTGGACTGGAATTTGATCATGGCGTTGCCCATCCCACCCACCACAACCGATTCGTCTGAAACCCCATTCATGTAGTGCCGGTGGTCCGGTTCAGACTTTTTCTCACCGCCCTCATATTACACCACTTCTCTCTACTCGACATACCTGTAGACATCACTCAACGATTGGCCTTCGGTGTCCATTCACCCAACCCATCTGATGATATACATGTATGCTGCCCCAAGGCGGAGTGCATGAAAGAAGGAGGGAGAAGCCGCGTTGATCCGTGTGATCAGGCAGACCCCGGTCTCGAATACCACCAAGCAAAACCATTAACGCATGTAATTATCCCGTCAGGGAGTGGGAAGAAATTCACGTACCCAACGCCGAAGTCGCGTAAATGGCCGAAGGCGAGGAAATCGGGTCGGCGTGGAAGATTATTCCGTCGCTTAGCTCGCGAAATATCGCTGCCACAGTTGAATTCTATACGAGCGAGCTGGGGTTCACCTTGGGCGGAACAAAGTCCGAGAACGATGACGACTCTCAGCTCTACTTTTACTCCGTCTACGCAGGAAACAAGACTGCTGCCAACATCTACTTCTTTCTGTGCGATGACAACGAATTCCATCCTGGAGGAGTAATGATCGCCTTGGGCACGGCAGGTCTGGACCACTTCCAAGACCTCTTGATCTCTAGGGGCAATGTCGAAGTTGTCGAAGCTATCCGCGATACGCCTTGGGGTTACCGTCAGTTCACAATCAAGGATAATGATGGCAATCGTCTGACGTTCTTCAAGTTCTTGGAGGGAGGAAACCCAGGAACCGACTGATATCACAATCTTATGCACGTCGGGTTGAGCTTCTTAACTGGATATCAATTGAGTATCGAAAATTTCTCAAGACGTACTAAGTGAGAGCATGCGTGCTGAAGAAAGATAATTCATGGAGGATTTCCATATAACGGATCTGGGGAAATCGCAAACTCATGCTGAGCAGTAAATTGGTTCATGTTGTTCTGCGTGCTCATACCATGGAAGAACATGGGATCCAGGTCGGGAAGCCAGAATTCAAAGAGATTCATCACGTCAGTTCCGATGAGCGGACTCGGGGCGACCGCGGACCCCTCAATGTCCAAACGCCCAGTCATAGCCGAGCTCGGGGCCAAGTTCATCTGTAAAATTGCCGTTAGTGCTACCCATGCGAGGTCCAACTCGCCCTCGGCGACCAGTGATAGGTCTACTCACGGTCGAGAAGTCGGTGTGAATGTCCGTAGACGCGACGTCATAATCGGGTTGCTGTGGGAGTGACCATTGAGGCTGCGTAGAGAGCGCCTGGAACGCTTCAGATGGCGCATGGGGTGTCAAACCGGTTGGACTCCGACCGTTGACCTCGTTCACGTAACTTCGAGCGATCTGTGAGAACTCGCCAACCATCGAACCCGGTATCGCCCCGTTGGAGATCATTTCCATTCGGCTGCAGTGACCTTTCACAACGTCAAGCAACGCCAGGTTGGTTGCGGTATGTATTTGCCGAGGGTTGTGAATTACGAGGTCGAACAGGACAAAAAAGGCCATGATGGGAATCGTTGCCATCATCCTGTGACGAATAATGTTAGTCAAGGCACACCGGGATCAGGGATTTGACGTACCACATGGGGGTGTAGGGGGACATGTCTATTATCGAGATCAATTCCAGCAACGAACGAGCACTATGTTCCACAGTGTTGAGAGTCTCATCTCGACGAGAACAGTCTGAAGAGTCTTCTGACACTGGCAAGTGCCTCAAAGCCATTCGCGATATCGTTAGGAGGAAGCTGTAGTAAAGAAAGTGAGTGACCAGAGCGACTGTTCGCTCTTGTTCTTCAACGATCGAATGAGGTTTGACCCAGCCACCGGGCCTGAAACCGTTATCGGGCAGTGAGTTCCTCCAATCTTCGAGCTCGTCCAAAAGCTGGTCGATGATGTCTAGGTGGTATTCCCCTGGATTGTCTGATACGCCTACGGAGAACAGCGATGTATTGGCTCGTGATAGCAGACGCGCGTGGCTGATGAAACACAGAAACCAGTCGAATCCGCCAGAGAAGAAGGACTCAGGCGTTGATGGAACTGAACAGGATATGTCGCAATCCATGATGGCCTGTTTGTGAACGTCAGTCGTGAGAGACAGACCGCACCATAAATATGTTAAACTCACAGATGATCTGCCATGATGGAAGCTATTGATTTTCTCCAAAGAGTAAAATACCCAAAAGGTTCGCCGGAATGCGTCTGCTGCGGCTCCGACGAACTTGGCGTCGGCAAGATTCTGTGCTCTCCGGGCAGCTTCTGACATAAGAACATGCTCGAGTACGATTCCAGCGATGCCCAGTGAGTATATCACCATTGCCACTACGGCTTGAAAAGTTGTAAGTGTGTCTGGTAGCATAATCAGATCGGTAAAGTTGGCTAGAGAGATGGAGAAGAATGCCCATGCATCGCCTTTCCCGGGCTCAAAAGACCCTCCACCGTCGTATTGACAACCGAGAGCAAGAACAGAATGATAAAGACATATCCATGACTTGCTCTTGGGTGCTGAGAGAGGTTGATCTTGGCTGAAAGCGGTCCTCTCGAATGCTTCGCGATCAAGGAACGGAAATCGAGGATGTACACGCTCAAAATACACTGCTGGTGGTAAGCACTTTGCAAAACATCAAGAACAGGAGAGAGACAAAAATATTACTTACACTTTACATACTTCGCGAGAAGTGGTTTGTCATCAAGACAGGCCGGGCGCTCAGGCTGACGATTCAGACTACAAGTACGGAGTTTGACAAATCTTCCGCGCTCTTCAACGGCGCTTGCAATTCGCCCGACGAGATCGTGAACCTTTTCATGGCCAAGACATTTTGCGAGCGATTTTAATCTGCCTTCAGAAAAAAAGGTCAAGTTCTTGGTGCCGCCTATGACTTACTGGTCAGGGCGTCGTCGGATTGAAGATGTGGAATGGGAGGGTGGGGCATGGTCATTATCCTTGAAGTATAGCACACTTACCAAAAATACCATAACCCTATTCACAGTGAGCCAAAGTTCGAGAAACTGGGGCAATACATGTGGACTTACTTTGACGTAATTGGAAGCTTCGGAGGGTCTGATTGATCTCGGGGCTTCACGCGCTCTGTCGAGTACTCGATCGACGTAGAGTTCCGGGATCCGGTGCGGAGCGGGCCGTCGGGAATTTGTATCGGGGGTGGATGATTTCTCCGAGATTGTCGGGTCCGGTGACTTGGATGCCGGTGTTGGCAGTGTTGCGAAGTCCAAAACCGATACGGTGCACCCTTGTTGTATGTCATTGGGCGTGCCGGAAGACCGGCTCGAAGGAAAAAATTGTCTTTGAACTAGGTAGTTATCCGTAAAGTTATCAATGAGTTCTCAAAAGCCCCGAATACATAGAAACGGCGTTGCTCTGGACACGACAATAAGAGGAAGTACGTACTGTTTGGTCTGCGGGCTAACTTTCTCACGCCAAAAACGCACTCACTTTTCCTTCTCTGTGCAAACTCTGTCAGCGGTGCCATCGAAAGAAAGGGCGAAAATTATGACGACAGCTGCTGTGCCTTACAGTGCAGTTGCTACAAGTTCCAGATGACCCCGGGCCTGATTGGAGAATCAGCCAACATCCTCGAGATATCTGCGCATATCGACGCAACATCAAGCATGCCTACCAGGACATCGAACTTTGCGCGACGTGCATGCATTGCACGACTTGTGGGTTCTAGCACTTGAGGCGTTACTGGGCATACTCGGTAAAGTTGTCCTCTAATATGGGATGGATTTCCGAAAGTAGACGAAAGTAGAAAGAAGGAAGCCGTAAATTTGTAAAATCTCGGGGCCGTCGCGAGACATCATGGCAAAGACGAGTTGAACTGCCACGCAGACACAGCCTGTGCTAATCGGCGTCGGGTCCGGTTTTCCTAATTGGGTAACCGTTACCGAGGCCTCGGGATTTTATAAGAGGCGGTGCCGAGTGACGCCATCCAACCTACATGTAGTTTAATTCTGTTTGACTTATGAAGGTTTTCTCAAAGAGGAGCATTTAATCTAATGCCACGTGTTCGATTCGTTACAGACTTACAGTCTTCTTCACCCCACTAAATCTGGAAACCGGAACAGAATGTCTAAGTGTGAATTGTGAGCTTGGACACGTATGGCTACTCTACTGTAAGTCTGTAACTACTCTGTCGAAACCACGTGAACGGCAGTCCAATCAAATGATGAATTTCATTACAAACGAAATCCTGGATATCTTGGTAAGTAAATATATCAAGCTGCTTGGCGAGATACGGTCCACTGCGTTTCCGCCTGGATTACTTTATCTCTACCCAAAAGCTCCTGTTCAGGGGTTAGGCGTGACTCGAAGTCATCCCCACTATCCTCATTCTTCCCTTCACGTCCGAACGAAGCGACCTCCGACCTGTAGTGTTCGTCGTTGTCCGGGGAGTATATGGTTTCCAGAGCGATTGTGTCAGGTGCGCTTTGCTGCGATCGTCTGAACTTGTTTGAATCGTTGTAGCCACTTGCGTCCGAAGGCCCGTCGAGCTTTGAAGCGTCTCGCCGACCTGTACATCGCGAGTACAGTGATCCTAGCATCGGCATGCTAACACAAATGATACCCATGTTCGGCTCTACGGTCGACCAAAAGCTGGCCCAAATCATTGTCTCGGTCAAGTTTTGGAGATCGAGGTTGGTGAGGCTGACGATGCGGATGATTGCAACTACGCTTACTCTGTTTCACCATGTTGTCAGTCTATAGCCAGTTGAAGTAGGTACGGATGTGCAGGCATACATTAAGCCTATTGAGAAGACGGCGATGATGCCAAGTTTGGCCGGTGTGCTCATCTTGAGTGCCCAGACAGTCGAGATCGGCAATGCCAAGATCATGACGTTCGTGATGACATTGAAAGCACCGATAACAATGAACGACGCTATTTGATTTCCACACTTGCCCGGGACGGCCGGATTGTATGTGGCCTCGAAGGGGTGGCAAATCAAGAAGACTTGCAGGATATTAGCCGTTGTCCAGACCATGACAAAGCCCATTGCGAACTTCGTCGCGGTTCGGAGTCCTGGGTTGACAAAGACCCGAAGGTAGAAGAACATGACGCTGAGCTTGATGGTGCTGATGCAGGTTGCGAATATGAACTCGTAGACGACTAGAAGTTTGAGGATGATGACAATATTCGGAAGGGTATCTGTGATCGGATAGCCGATGCCCATAGGCGACCCTTGACACAGATTTGTTAGACTCGAGTTAGAATAGCTTGCGGGCCCGAGTACTCACACAAGCCTTGGATTACCAGCATCTCGATGCCTTGAGGCACTGCGAGGAGAATGAGGAGGTCATCCCACCACAACTTTGCCCCCGAAGAGAAACATGCAAAGAAACGAAGCGCGACCACAATGACCGCGAAGAAAACCAATACGCAGTTAACAAGGAGGTGAGCCTTGACTATCGGTAACGTTGGGAAGCTGACAGCGTGGAGCGCCATGCTGATGGGCAGTAGCTAGGACTACCCAGAGGGAGTGTCCCACATCTCGCTTCAAAAAAACTGCTACAAAGATGATTAAACGCGATCACTCGAATTTGGAAAAAAAAAAGTCCAAAACGAAGCAAAGCAACCAACGCATCATCCCATATTTGATCCTGAAGACATCTCACTGTTATGCCAGACACGGAGAGTTGGAGCTAGCTAGAGCCCCTGCGTATTTTCATCGTGCCGGCCGATCACTGGTCTTGTGTTACGACCCAACATGCACGACCAAGAACAGGGCCTGCCCCGCAGGCTTACGACGGTTACTACGCCATACATGCACAGGACAAGGGGACACAAGGCACCCTCTCACGGAACGGAAGAACTATGGTACAAGTCACGTGAGGATAAGATAAGGATCATTTGGGATCAATATGATCCAACACGACTTGGGGGCTAAACGTACTGATTGCGGGGGATTTTAACTTACACCATTGGACGTGGCAGCCCGAGGCCACGAGTTCCCCGGACGCTGAAAACCTAGTAGAATGGGCAGAAGCCGCTAGCCTTGTCCTAATGTCACCTATAGGTGAACCCACGCACAAAGGCGGCAACACCCTAGATTTATGCTGGGCGTCCAGCAACCTCCATAGGGCTTCCACCAGCATAGAAACGTCACTACACACGACATCAAACCACGAATCTCTGCTTACCCGGGTCCCCTTAGCCCTGATCGATTCACCCAGCCAGACCCCGGGAAGGTTTCGGCTCGACACGATGGACGAGGAGCTTTTCCTCGGCATCATTAAACGCAACTTACAACCCATACGCCGCACTGCAAGCAACATCCAAGACCCACAGTCTTTAGATCTCCTAGCACAACAGCTTACGGACTGTCTTATTAAAGCACTCACGGCTTCCACAAAGCGCACGCTCGGGAAAGGTACAGGGAGGCCATACTGGAGCGAGAGCTGCACACGCAAACACCGAGCCTATGCAAGTAAGCGAGCGATGTTAGCAAGACTCCGCGCAGCCGGAGTGAACTGCTAATAGGAAGAAGAGGAGGTCGAAGCTCTAAAACAGGACTTCCTCTACGAGTTTAAACGCTCCAAGGATGCCTTTTAGAAAGATAAGATCTCCTCAGCCTCCTCAAGCAATAACATATTTGAAATGGTCGGTTGGCACAAAGCCACAGGATCCTTTCAGACCCCGCCACTCCGAGATATAGATAACCAAGACACGCTTGTCTCACAACCAAAAGAGAAGCGCGACTTATTTACCCGCGTCCTCCTTAGAAACGCTGCAATCTCCGAGGACATACCAACAGAAAGCCCAGTCCTACAAAGGCAAGCTACGCTTCCTTTCCCGCAGGTTACGAAGGACGAGGTACGGTCTTCGGTTCTCACCGCGGGAAACACGACTCCTGGGACCGACGGAATCACTACGACTGCTTCAAAATAGCATGGCCAGTTATTGAGGATATTGTCCTCTCACTTTATTGCGGGTATATACGCGAGGGTTGGCATCCTACTTGTTTTAAAGAAGCAACTCTCGTGATCCTAGCAAAACCGGGAAAAAGAGACAAGACACTCCCGCGCTCCTATAGGCCAATTGCGCTCTTAGCCGTCCTCGGAAAAGGCTTGGAGAGACTCATCGCCAGACGACTTGCCTGGATCGCAGTTAAACATCGTGTTCTGCACGATCAACAGTTTGGAGCACTCCCTCTTCGCTCTTACAGCGACCTCATCGCAGAGGCCATCCACGACATCGAGTGCGCCTGGCAAAGAGGCCTGGTTACCTCTATGCTTACGCTCGATATAAAAGGGGCTTTCGACGCCGTGCTCCCAGGACGACTAGTCCGACGCCTCTGCGAACAAGGATGGCCGGAGAACCTCGTACGCTGGGTCTCAAGTTTTGTTACCAGAAGGAGAGCAAGAATAAGGCTTGATGGGGAGGTAGGAGACGTCTTCGGTCTCGAATGCGGACTACTACAAGGCTCACCCGTGTCTCCCATTCTATTCATACTCTATATTAAACCTCTTTTCAAGCTGGGTATAGCTCGCCTAGAAAGGAAGCGATCTCGTTTCGGCTACGCCGATGACGTCGCTATCTTAGCAAGCTCAACATCACTAGAGAACAACTGTGACATCCTAACCAAGGAATAGAAAGAAACCTTAGGATAGGGCGCGACGGAAGGAATCACTTTTGACCTCGATAAGTCCGAACTAATCCACTTCACTAAGAGACGAAAAGACGGAAACCCATCAATCACAGTAGGTTTGCAGGATAGGAGGTATCATACAGTTCAGGCTATCAAAGAAGGCTCTTCTCTACGCTGGCTCGGCGTTCACTTCGACCGTAAACTCACATTCAAGAGTCACGTAAGAAACCTCTCTGCAAAAGCATGCCAAGTAGTCAATAGACTACGGGGACTAAGGAACACTGTCTGGGGCGCGCCTACGTACTTACTTCGCCGAGCGATCACCTCTTATATATTACCCACTCAGTACTATGCATCTGAAGCATGGTGGCCCGGCAAGAGCCGGATAAAGAATGGACGTACTATCTCAAACGGGGTTGGTAGTCTGCTACACCAACTGGACGCGACGCAAACCAAAGCCATCAGAGCGATGGTCCCCGTATACAGAACTACGCCTGTACCGATCCTACAGCGCGAGGCGGCTCTACCCCCAGCAGAGGTGATACTGGACGCGAAGCTCCACACAGCGTCCACCAGAATCCATCGTCTGGACGAGCGACACCCTCTCCGAACGAGACTCAGGGACAAATCAGGACCAGACTCACGGCTACGACGAATGGCAAGCCTCGTAAGCAAAAATACCGAATACATCGATCCGTTAGAACTCCCCCCTTGGGAGCAACTAGCGGACTGGCAGACAGCCCTCGCCAGGGTCGGCTACGAACCTAATAAGACCAAAGAAGAACAGGCCCTCTCCTTGGCAGGCAGGATGGCAACTTTCTCCAAGCGGGACATTATTATCTACACTAACGGGTCCCAGATATCGGACGGCAGCAGCACCTCCGCCGGAGCAGGCTGGGTAGGGTACCAAGCTACACGGCAGATCTTCCGCGGATCCGAACCACTCGGCTCCCAAACTAAGGTATATAACGCGGAGGCACATGCTGCGTATCACGGCCTGATAGAAGCCACCCGGGCTCCTACGGCTCGTATGGCAGATAACGTCCACATCTGCCTCGACAACCTCGCAGTCGCGGCTAGACTATACTCCCAGAGCACAGGAAGCAGCCAGGCTAGATTTAGGGCCTTCAATAGGCTCTCTTCCTCCTGGACTCGGAGACAAAGAGAGAGCTGGACAACCCCCGGCAGGGTTTATGTTTGGTGGTGCCCTGGGCACACGGGAGTACCAGGAAATGAAGAAGCGGATGCTCTAGCCAAGGAAGCCTGCAAACTAATCCCAAAATCACAACCACAGCCCTCATTAGCGCACCTAGAAAGGCAAGCTAAAGCAGCTGCTTTCCAAGCCTTTGCCAGAAAATGGCTGTCCCAATGCCCTCGGCAATATGCCGACCTCGAGATAATTCTTCACCCCAAGCCGCCCGAACTCCGCCTCCCTCGGCACTTACTAGGAAGGCTATACGCAGCAAGATCCCATCATGGAGACTTTGCAGCATACCACGAGAGATTCGCTCATCAAGATGCGTTGCTCAACTGCAGCTGTGGGAAACCCAAGACACCAGTCCATTTCTACTTCTGCAAGCGTGGACGCAAGGCTACACCGCGCTACCTCCGCCAACGTATGGCCAAAGCAAGCATTGATTTCTTGTTAGGTTCTGCTAAGGGAGCCTCTCTTCTATGCGAATGGATAGAGGAGACCAATTTCTTTTCCGAAATTTGCCCGAGTCATTGAACAGGAACGTTAGGTGAAGACGGTAGCCTGTAACATAGTTTAGATTAGTATAGACCATGTCGGCATAGCGCCCGGCACGTCCTTTTGTTACCAGACGTTAAATACATCATCATCATCATCATCATTACCCAAAGTGAGCGCTCACCAGTATCCCTTAGTGATCACCAACGAACATGGTGATCAGGCAACAAAGGATATGTTCAGGATCAGGACTTGTATATAGGATGGACTCGAGCCGGGCTCTAGGACAGACTTCCCATAGCTTCTTCAGCAATTAACTTCGTATCAGGATTAACATCCGCTTTCCGCTACTACCTTGACAAGACTACGATTGATCACCGAAGCCTTACCTACCCTTACGATTGACAGACATAGTTTCCTTGAAACTATTCCACGACTACGATTACTGTTACCAGTTCCGCAGCCTCAACTTCTGCAAACTACCCCTACGACTAGCTGGCCGTAACATCTATCCTATATATAAGTCCTAATTCTAAATATATCTTTTATTCTTAAGGTTGCCCTACATTATTCTAATCTAGAATAATTATTTAGCCCCCAAGTCGTATTAAATCATATTAATCCTAAATAATCCTTATTCTATTATTACGTAACTTATATTAGAGTTCTTCCGTTTCATAGAGAGTTACTAGTATTTTTATTTTACCTACATATATATGTTACGCCCGCCGCAACTTGTCACTGTGGGCGCGTTGCTATATAATGCAGAACAAGGGAAAATGATGCGGAGTCATCATTATCGAAGCTTTTGCTTTGTGCCACAGTTGGTTGCCTTGACCTGCTCGTAACACTCGGCTGGCAGAGACGTTCCGATGACGACAAGATCCCGGCTACAGGCATCCTGGCCCTCACAACAAAGGTGGCAGTTCACTACCTCGCCGCCAAGATCGGTCTTTGAGAAGGCGAGCCTGGCCCTAATAATGCGATATTTCATTTCCACAAAAATTCAAACCATCTTTCTCAAAGACCGGACAGACACTAAACAAAGTTGCCGATGCCAAGTCCGATTTGTGATCGAACAGTCTGAATAAGGCTTGAACTCTAGGCCATGCTGAACTCTGACCCAGCGACCGCGAATCACATCAGGAATTAGGTTTGATCAAACTTTAGACTCGGGATCTTACGATATCCAGGCCGATGCCCGAAACGGTTCCATGCTTGACGTTGGCCATGCAAAATTGCAAATGGCTCTTGGTGCAGGTAAACCTGTTGGTTCACCAACGTTTCTGCATCACACCATCCTTAAAACAGCAACTCCTTGCCCTCGGGAGTGGGGATTGACTTGTTGCAATGACACAGAAGCTTGCAGAGTTGGGTCGCGCAAGCGGAGCCGGATTCCGGTCCGGGGTTCCCTTGACGGTGATTGATCAATGTTCTCCAGGGTCCATGGATTCTTCAGCGGGCCAAGATTGGAGGGTCTGTTGGTTCTGTTGGTTCTGTCGATTTGAACTTCTGGGAGCATCTCTGGCGGTCTGATATTTCGGGAGAATATGAGTGGGGGAATCTGAACTGCCCCTCCTCTTGACTTCTTCCCTAGCCATGTTTGAAACTGGTGGGATAATCTATATGTAGATCAAATGTTCGCTCTAGCCTCGTAACAGAACAACCATATGCTCCTCTCTTGCTAGGATAATTCAGACCTACTGCGCATTTATCTACTCATCATGACTGCGTCGAACTCACCACCAAAGATTCTCCTTAGCGGCGCAACCGGCTATGTCGGCGGGTCTGTCATCCACCACCTCCTCAAGCATCCCTCTCTCACCTCCACAATCTCATCTTCCTCTCCAATTACTGTTCCAATCCGCGGCAGTCAAGAACGTGCAGTAAAGCTCACGAAAGCATATGGCTCACGTGTTAAGCCTGTCTCCATCGTCTCTTACGACGATACTTCAGCCTTAACAGCTCTTGCCTTCGAGCACGATATCGTGATCAACGCAGGCTCAGGCTTTCATCCTCCCTCGGCAGAGGCTTTCGTCCAAGGTCTTGATAAACACAAGGATCGGAATGGAGGCCGACCTGTCTGGATGATCCACACCTCGGGGGCGTCCAACATCGCAGACAAACCCTTGACTGGAGTCAACAGGCCAGATGCTGAATATGAAGACGCCTTTGCCGAGAAAGTGTACGAATTTGAAGAATCTGAGAACGCGAAAGATCCATACCCTCAGCGAACTGCAGAATTGGATGTGCTCAGAACTGGGGACAAGCTCGGCGTGAACGCAGTCAGCATCCAGTCGCCATGCATTTTTGGGCCTGGATCAGGACTCTCCAACAAGGCGGGCTTGATGATCCCCATTATGATGGACTACGTCCTCCAAAACGGCTGTGGGTTGACGCTGGGCGATGAGACGGGCTGCATCGATTACGTTCATGTGTCCGATCTCGCGGACCTCTACGTTCTTTGCGTGCTAGATATTGTCGAACGCGCCGGTGTCAATGTGCCGAGGGGCAAGAAGGGAATCATGTTTCCCACAGTGGGGAGGACGTTAACGATTGATATCCCTCGAAAGTGTCTCGATATCGCGTTTGCGACGGGGAGCCTTCCCAAGGAGAACGGGCCGCAGGAGAAGATTGTGAGAAATGTTAGTCTTGAGGATGCGGCAGAGACGTGCGCTGGCAATATGGATGTTGCTGAGACTGGGTATGCTGGACATCGCAAGATGAAGGGGACTGTGGCGAGGGAGAAACTTGGATGGAAGCCTATTTATGGGGAGGAGGCATGGTGTAAAGACTTTGAGACGGAGTTGAGGGCTGCTTTGAATGGCCAGAGGCCGTATACAATGGGGAATTGTATTGCTGGCACAAAGTAATATGGGTATGAAGATTGCCTACTTAGGGTGCTGAAGTACTCGTCTCTTGCGAATAGCTTTTATAACTTCAATTCACCTCAAATCGGCAGGCAAAACGACCACGGAGCGACATCATCGATTGAGAAAGGCGAGCAGCGCGTGCGCTAGGAAGGCGGGTCAAGGAGGATCTTCATCGCATGCCATGCAGATTCCGGCATCGCCTGTGTATGTAGTGTTGATATGGAGGCGTGTCCTGCTGCACTTAATACTCTGCCATTCCGTCTCATAGTAGCCACAGCCGCAAGAGTAATGCATTCGCCACCGTTGTTTACACATTTTGGGGTCCTCGCTGACTCTGGAGACTGTATAATTAGCATTGGTTCGAGCGGCTCGTCGAGTCGCTGGGAATGGTTAACGTCTAGTACTTACTAAGGGATAGAGTGTCAAGATGGCGTTAAGGGAAGCAGACAATTGCTGAATTGGTTGTTACTACATGTAAACATCCACGAGATTTGTGGCGAAAGTAAGAGGGACTTGATCTCAAATAGAACTTCACTGGCATCGTTTTCGGTGAGAGCCTGGCACTCTGCGGGGTTAGCGCGCGAGCGCGCGATTTCAGCAAGCTGGATTACCATGGTCGTGGTAATCGTCTGACACGTATCTTGCACTGTGATGATTGGGTGCCTCGTCAACAAGCAGTAGTGACGCACCCGTGATGGCTGCGGAACACAGGTCTCATGACATCACTCGCGTCGACTGGTGTTACCCTTGACCAGGTGCGTATTTCAGGATGGAGTCAAGGGATGGGAGTCGGGTTATGTCGACGAGTCCCATCGGATCTCGTAGAATCTCAATTTGTATGTACGTTTTGGTATGTTTACTCAATATGCACACTCGAAACAGGTATTTAATACTATGGTATCGGCTTTTGCGGTATCGTAGGCGTGGGGTGTAAGTAACTAGTCGCAGAAATCCATGTTCTTCTTGCTCCTTTGTACAAGCCCTTTATTTCAGACCTCCAAATTTAATACACTTCTCAATCCAGCCCTTGCGAGGGGTCTCGGGAGGGGTTTGATGCTGGTGCTGGGGCTGGTTGACGCCGCCGCCCCAGCTTCGCCAGGTACTTTCGGTAGCTTCAGTCGGAGCCATGGAGACGCCGCGCTCGCCAAACACGACCGGGGGCGGGTCCTGAAGCCACGGGGCTGCCGGGGGTTGCTGTTGACCAGGTTGTTGGGGCGGTTGAGTTTGGTACAGAGACAAGAGGGAGTTGGTGTTGTAGTCGGTTGAGGGGCTTCCGGTGTCGTATTGGCTAGATGGTGCGTAACGCTGCTGAGGCGGAGGAGCCAGCCCGGACTGTTCCACCCGGTCGGTGCTCCGGTAGGCGTCCGGCACATTCGGGACCGGAGGGGCGTTAATGTTGTTCGTGCTGGCGCCGAAGCCGCTGCGGGTGGAGTACATGCTGCTACGGCCGGACATGGGATTCAACTTGAGCGGGTGGTGGCGACGGATCCAGCTGGCGATGGAGTTACGGACGTTGGGCTGGGCGACGGGCGCGGGCTCGAGGATGGGGAGCTGGCGGGCGGGGTCGTATCTCTTCTCGTCGAGGTAGCCCTGGGGTGTCAGCGAGTTGCGGTCGTTACTGTAAGTTCCGGTCCCTGCATTGCCGTTCTCTGCGGCGTAGGCGTGGCCCATGAGTTCGGCAAAGATGCTTGAGGGTGAGCGGCGGGACGGGCGGGCGGCGGGCATAGTGGGTGCTGAGAAGGTTGACGAGGGGTCCCAGTATTGGTGGTTGTCGGGTGATATGCTTCGTTCGTAGAGATGACGGGCTTGACGGCGCTTTCGGTAGCGGACACACCACCAGATGCCGACGCCGATGACGAGGAAGAGTGCAGCGATGGCTTCAAGTAAGTGTTAGTTCAACCTTGCACACAAGTAGATCGACCCTCAACGTAATGTGAAGTGAAATCCAGACATACCAATCGTCCCGAACGCAATCGCGGTTGGTGTCCATCCTACTTCGCCAGACCTATCGTCCCCAAGACCCGTGTCATTGCCTCCCCTGGTCGTGCCCCCTGTCGGCTGCGAGTCGAAGCTGGTGGTGCTGCGGTTATTTGGGAGAGCCGTGGGAGTCCTGGTCGAGCTTGACGATTCGGTAGTGGTACTGATAGAGGAAGAAAAAGGAGTGGCTCCAGTCTCTCCGCGTTGCGAGCCGCGCAGAGGCTCAGTCGGTCTCGGGAATTCGGTAGACGTAGGCGATGGGGAATCGCTCGATGTGCTGCTCTCCGTATCCGTGGGGTTGGCAGGGTTAAGGACGGCCGGCGGAGCCACTCCGACTGCTGGTGGCGGAGGGGGCGCTGTTGGTCTTGCGCCAGGTGGGAACGTGGTGCTGTTGGGTGAAGGGGAATCTTCGTCGTCAGATGAGATTTCGCCCGGATCGTCGCGGACGGCGATCTTCAAGTCATCTCTGACGTATCTCGGGCGGCGAATAGCACGCCTGTGCGTTTACTTAGTCTTGCTATTGCTTTTGGATTAAGGAGTGATCGCTTACCTCCTCAGAGTGCCCATAGGAGAAACCATCTTGAGTTTGGTAACGAGTAAACAGTTAGGTTGGGAAATTGATTGTTGTTAAAGTGCTATGAATCCGAGTCTACGGTCGAGTGAAAAGTGACAAAGGTATGAAACTAGGTCGTCGAGACGCAGATTTGATGAAGCAGCGCAGCTGGGAGGATGGTCGAATGGAAAAGAAAAGGGCACTGCCCGCGAAGAGAAGGGAAAGAAGGTGAAGAAGGCAACGAAGAAAGACTTGCGAATTCGAAAAGAAGCTTCAAGTCATCTTGGCCTTGTATCGAAAGGAGGGGGAAGAGTGACGTTCCCAGAGATGTTGGTTGCCGAACGACGTGGAGGGTAAACGTACAGAAGAAGCTCCAAGAGGACTTCCAAAAGGAAGAAACAGGGACGTCTTTACTTTTTGGTCTCGTCTTTTCCATCCACCCTTGCAACGTTGCCAGGTCTTCTGGGCCTGTCTAGAGCCCGTGCAGCCGCTGTCTTGTCCATGTCATTGCGTCAGGAAGCGCTGTTGCTGCGAACACCCACACCACTCATCCGCTGTGCCATCCCTGGCTTTGGGGCAATCTGGAAGAGAGAAGTTGGAATTGTTTGCCTTTCCTCTGCTCCTCTCCGTGTGGGTTGAGGTTACTTGGTGGAGGAGACTGGAGGAGTCGCAACCTTTCCAAACCTTGCCTGTCGCCAAGAGACGAACAATGCGGACAAGTGTAACCGAGGAGGCAACACGAGGCAAGAAGAGGCGAGTAATGGAACGCTGGCGCCGATGTTTCTCAGTTTCAGAGTCGCCTGCCGAGAGGTCCGAAAACGACTTGGTGCGACAAACCCTCCGCCCTTCCCCTTGCTCCCCTTACAACGTCAAGCCACTTGCGTGCCACACAGCTACGCTACCCTATCATTTCTCGCATTCCTCTACCAAGGGTCCAGGGTTCTAGGGGGGCCCGGTCCCCGTCTCTCCCGCCAAGACGTCCCGCTGTCTGCCGTCTTTCCGGCCCCCGATTCGCCAGCTTCCTCTCAATGTCTCCAGCGGCTTCGAAGCCGATGTGGGCGGCCCGGCCAGGACCACTTCCTCGATTCCTCTTAGTCTCCCATTGTCCTCCCCGATTGAGGCTGGAAGGAGGCTCAGTTCCCTCTCTTCAGTCTCCCAGAGGCTGGTGTCTTCGACGTGACCAGGGGTGCTGAATGTCCAACACTGGACATCGACATGGTTCCTTCGCCGAACGTGAGAAGCGCATCGTTTCAGAATGTCTTCTGTCCCCGCCCACGCTGTGGCCGCCAGCGCCTGAAAGATCAGATCGGCCGTCCCGGATTGAGCATTTCTTGGTGACGGGGGATCGCACGTCAAACGGCCCCTTTCACCCTCGAGGTCCGCCAATCAATCCTAACAGCCTGCCCCTTCAGGTCCTTCTGAAGTGTTGAAGACTGGAAGAAAACCCTCCGCATTTCGATCATCAGCGAGTCACGTTTCCAGGGTGAGCTGGTTGGACTTGAGGGCGCAGAGGCCAGCCTGGGGAACCTAAGCCCTCTTGTCCGGTCGAAAATACGAAGGTCGAACTCTTCAAGCCAAGAACACAAACCTGCAAACGCCAAGTTTATTTGACAAATTGACGCGCGAATGCGTGAAAGCCTGGAGGAGAAAGCTGCCCTCGAAGCTGGGGCGAAAGCTCAAACCAGCCTATAATCAACCGAAAATACACAGACCATTGGCTCCTCCGTTCAATTGGATTCGAACGAACGCACTCCCTAGAACTTTGCTCTGCTTTTGTCCAACCTTCCGATGTCTTCTTGCTCTTCGTTGGCACCTTGCGACTGAACTCCAATTGTCAAAGGTTGCGAAGGATAATTCATCCTTTCTGCCGTTTGTCGATCGGGTTCGTTTGCGCGTTCTCAAACAGCGCCACCCGCCATGCAATTCGTGGGTTTTCCGCTGCACAGCACAAGTGTGCATTAGCCAGTTCGGGGATCTACAGTTTGAACTTTGAGCGATCCCCCTCATGCTGGCGGCCGCGTTGCCCCAGTGAGCGAAAGGGAACGGAGGATTAATAACCATAAGGCTCTCGCCCCTGAACGAGGTTCCTGCCGGTTCTCTTTACGCGTTGCACTAGCTTCATATACTCGATTCCGCTAGCATTGCTTGATATCGTCCGGAGTGGCCTTCCACGGGGAGATAGACAGCTTCTCATGAACTTGAGACGCTGGTGGGCAAAAGACCCGTCGAGCTCGAAAGCTTGGCCTTTCCCGACTGTGCAGTGCTCGAAAGGGGCGCGGACTCTGTTTAATCTACAGGTGAGGCAACCTTAAATGCCTGTCGCGAGTCAATCCCACCGGATATCTCGTAACACTGGGCCCCTCGGGCTTGTAGGGGGCGATTAGCGCTCGGGTGATGCAGTTTCCAGCATAGCCGGCCGGTCACTTCATCTCACCATCTAAGCTTAATGTCGGAACGGCAAGGCTGATAAGGAGCAATGGGCAGGTATCGTGGGCTGGCTGGCGCCTGCCCTGGGCGAAGTGGGACAACTGGCTTAGTCACCACGGCCGGTTAAGGTGGGGCAACCACCCAGGCCGTCACCACCTACTTCGACCGACCCCTGCCCACAATGTAAATAGGAAGTAACAAGAATAACAACAGCAATTATCACGGACATCGACGTGATTGTTGCCGAAGGTACACCCTCATGAGGAAATGTATCACGCCTGTGATACCAACACATAACTTTCGTCAATACTCCATAGGTGAGGCCGACTAATTGAGGCATTCAAAGGTTGCATTTTCCCACGGTTACCAAACCATGCGATGTACGAAAACATCCAGTCGATTGGAGGATAAGCATGTTCTTGGGGCTCTGGTGAGTGCGTAGACCGGTTGAATGCTCTGAGCATATTAAGCTCAACCGCTTGCACAGCAGAGGCATTCATTCATATGTTGACAGCTTAAGTGAGGCCCTTCGAAAGACACTTGCCATGACGCATTTATAGTCGGAGGCGTTATGGGAAGAACTTCTCCTGCCGCTGCTGTCTGCGTCACGACTCGCTGCACTTCTTGTTTCGCCCCATCGTATTCGAGATTGAAAAGCCCAATACTTTCCAACCTTGGCCAATATGTCGCTAAGTTGCTAAAAGCAAGTCTCTCGAATCCAGGTAAAGGGACCTGCATGTGGTGTACAGGTGGAGGTTGTATTTTTGCAATCGCTATCGTCAAGGAGGAAGGCGCAAAAATGTTAGGTATGGGGATAAACCTACATCAAGGTGTGAGATTGAGAACGAAAGTGACTTAGAAAGTACGAGAACCGTAAGAGTCCTACCATGCGAGGAAAACCAGCAGGATTAGCTTGAGGTACCTATAATGACGAGTCATTGAGAAGGCTGCAATCATGTTCTCCAAGGAACCGAAGAGATTGTCAAGTTCGCTGATTCGAAAATCATGGTTGAGAATAGTTCGGAACAAGACTTGTGTGTAAGAACTTGCCACGGAAATGACCAAGCAAGATCTGACAAGAAAGGCAAGTGCAGTGCCGGCCGCCACAGTGATTTGTTGCCCTGATAACTCCTGTCCTGCTATGAACTGAGTGTCTTCTGAAACTTCTTTTCCATTCAGGTAGCTGTTGAAAAAACGATGGCCGAGAGCAAATAGAAACCCGAGAAGCAAAGGCCGAACCATCAAGAATGGCGCACGCCAGTGGGGAGTTTGAGCATGACTGGTTGGAGGCTCATCGTTGGCAAAAGCGGTGCTCCTGTTTCTGTTTCCGAGGTACGGGAGCTTCATTTGAAAAGCTCAGTGTGCGAGAAGCAACTTCCAGTACGATTAATCTCTTGAGGATCCTTGAGAATATGGCTGAGACTTGCGAGGGGGAACCGGTCAGGACAAATCTTGATCGTTGAAGATCTACGAGCACCAGGACCTGTTTTTATTGCCGTAGTTCGGGATGACTTTCTCGCCCAAGAGAGATTATTTTAGAACCATTCAGATTCTGGTGGGTGGACGGATGGATCGTAGCTAATTGGTGGACATGAAGCCACAACCGCGCAGCCTGCTTCAATACGAATCAGGCTATATGCAGGCGTGACCTGACCTTAATATTGGCAAATCATCTCACGGTAGCAGCATACTGTCTAGCCCCCTACTCGAATATGATACTTCAGCTCACATGCACCCAATATCAGTCGGGCGTTCCTGATTCCATCGTGACAGCATTGGGTGTGAACAATCTAGAATTTGGACGCATGGTCTGGCATGCCCCTGGTAGACACGGGTTGTAAGGCTTGCGCCTTGCTACCCTCACACGTGCTTTTCATTGGAGTCGCATTTGACCACAAACTATTGCGTGTAGGGTGTCAACATCTTCGGGCCGATGGTTGGTCAATGGTCATCGATGGGTGATCCAAAGAGTTGATCAATGTCCAGAAAGCATTGAGTTGCCTGGAGCTAACTTCGGATGTACGAAGTTACCCGAATGTATGAACGGTGATGGGTCAGGTCTTGATGCAATGGAAGCCTCAACTTACATTAGTACAATGAACAGGACGGGCGCCAGCAGTTGCGAGTTTCTCCAAAATGTAGGACTTGCCCCACGCCTACCTTGTGTAAACATTGAGCTGACGAAGGGACTGATTGATGAACAAAGAATGTTGGTAAATTGAGATGTTGTCGGATTGGAAGTCCAATTCGGCCGCGAGTAGGGGCAGAGCATGGGACACCTCGAGGGGGTACACTTAGACCTCGACTACCCACCCAACCTCCGGTTGGAATCTCCCTTCTACTCCTTACGCAGAATCAATCAATACAGAGATATTGATACTTCGTCACCCACAGGACCCTACGGTTCGAACCAAATTCCTTGTGAAAGGAATACCAACAATCTCTCTTCCATTGACATCAATCTCTGCCAAAGACTGGAAGTCAGCCTCGACAAGACCGTGCTTGATCTTGTTCTCCTTGAGCAGATTCTCCCAAAGGCTCTTGCGGGCCTCAATAGTTAACCCGGGAAGCCGGATGTTGATGTGGATACGCGATTTGGTTGCCTCGTCAATGACCGCGGCACGGTTTGTAGTGATGATCAGAGTGCCTGCGTAGTATTCCAGAAGTTAAAGGAAGACTCAAACATGGTCAGATTTCAAAGTGCGGTGGTTGAGTCATTCCCTTTTGGTTTTGGAGCAACTCACTGGAGACTAATCTATTGGGGTGAAGATCAGATGTCCTCCGCTTCTCGAGAAAGACATCGCCCTCGTCCAGTAAAAGTACGGCGTCCCACTTAGACGCAATCTCTAACACTAGTTTGAGCCTTTCCTCGAGCTCTTCGGCATCAAATCCGAGCTGGCCAGCGCTGACTGCGTATAGAGGAGCGCGCATTTTCTCGGCCACTGGAGAATAAGTTAGGGAGATCGCTTACTGCTAGACAAGATAATAGCTGGTGGAAACTTACCGACGTCAGCTGTCAGAGTCTTGCCAACACCTGTGTCGCCACTGAGGAGGAGAACCAACCCCTGGCCCAGACATAGTTAGTGTTCTATGTTCTTCACCCAGACTGGATGAGAGCTTGCCGTACCCTTCTGCTCGATGAGATCATCGAAGCCATCTTCAGCAAGCATCTGCTCCTCGACTAGAGATAACAATAGATCTTTGTATCCATTAGGGAGGATGAGGTTCGACGCGCAGGTGTCGTTCCACTCAATCTCGCCGACGTTGTCTACAGTGAATCTGGCTAGGATGTCTCGTTAGCATGGAATTGCTTAACAACCTTGATAAGCGGACACTCACCCCAAGTCTTCGATTTCAAGGAGTAACCCCGAACTGTACTTGCGCACAACAAAAACTCGCTATCCCTGGCCAACTGATAAGACCTTTCAAACGCAGCCACGTCGTCTTGATCTGCGCTTAAGGGTTCCAGGCATACCGTGTTGGCAGGGTTGTTATCGTTGAATGTTTCGGCGTCAAAATGATACGCTCGGTTGACTGCCGGATGAATTAGCACTGAGTAAGTTGGGAGAAAGGATCAGGGCTGGCGACTGACATACCTTTCTCGGCTGCAAAGCATCTTTGCGCCCAATGTACCACTCTTGACCGTTGCACTTCTTGTGATGGAAGCCAGAGAGCTCTGCAAAGCGTCGCCCCCGACGGATCAAAATGTTCCTGATCGTCTCTGCCTCCGGGTTGCACTTGAGGGGGCTGACGGGCAAGCTTGCGATTGATGCTGTGCCTTTGAAGGGGGGTATTTCCTGGCACACGGTTGCAAGTCCAAAGGTCTGGCCATCCGTGTCGATGAAGTAACATCTGAGTTGGTAACCCTCCTTAGAATAGCTACTTTCCTGAGCTCTTATGGCAACAGCCTGTCCTACATCATCTGAAGAGAGGCAGATCTCGCCACGGGGAAAGATTGTCCACAAAAGGGGATACCAGCGCTGCCGCTAAAGCCAATCTATCAATCAAACTTCCAAACAAACCAAACAACTGAGGCTATTCCCAACTATCAATCAAACAACTTCTGACCACCGGAATTTGATATATTGGGTTGATTTGGCTTGGTATTTTATATAAGCCTGCATATAGCCAATGGGATGCCATTATCGCGAATATTCACGCCCTAACGTGGTCAGCTTTCTTTTTCTGTATGTAGCACCATTAATCCTGACAGCTTTGCGATATTCTTTTTTGCCCTCCTGGCTGTATTTTCTCTTCAGACAATACTCCTGAGTGATCTATGACTCCCAGAGACGTTGGATATGGGTATAAAAGCACTGGAACCGCTCTCTTACTACGTCTCTTCTTCTTCCTCATGCCTCACAAGCAGCCAACATCAGCAACATCGCCAACATCCTGGGCTTGCTTACCTTTGCCATGATGACTTCAACCGTACGTCAGCCACTCCCCCCCTCCTCTCTCCCTGGCCCTATATAAGGGCTTCCCCATCCATCCAGGAAGCTCTTCTTCCCCCGGCATGATGATGTCTTGGTTTCACAACTAACGATGCTATTCACAGATATTATCCCCCACTCCTTTACCTACCAACGTACTTCAACTACTTCAATCCCCCTCCAGAATTACAACTCAAGTGGCCAACAGTGTCTATATCGTTCTTCCCTCGAATCCATCCATCTTCGACCTCCCTACGATCATATAGCAGAATAAGAGATATATGGTTGAGGAGCAGCTGGCCCGTAAAGGAGGCAGGGGGAGGAAGAGTTGGATTAAGGACCATAGGGTCTTCCTTATTGAGCTTTATGATAAGGGGCCAGCTGGTGCTTACTGGTGCTATCAACAATGTGACAGTAAAGGAAAGCCAGAGTTCTTTGCTGCTACTGCTTCTAGCGCTGCTGCAGACCATCTTCGCAGGTACGTATATGTCCTTTGGTATGATTATTGTTAACTGATCTATATACAGATGCCATCAAGTCTCACAATGGGGTTCTGCTACCAATGAGACAAGCTCAGGAGAGACTCTCCACAGCTCAGAGCATGGCACTCGTTCATCGAAGAGGAGGAAGATCTCCCATATACCCAAGTCGAAAGTGGCTACTGTCATAGATCTCTGTCTCTCCACCATCATCACCAACGATCTACCATTCGACCACTTTCAAGATAGCTTCGTTCAACAAGTTCTACAACTCCACAACTCCTCTCTGGTTAATCAGGTGCCATAGGGTAGGACTTCAATAATGGACTATCTTCCCATTCTCTTCGCTAGGGGGCAATCTTACGTCAAGGATGAACTCCACAGTGCCCTCACTAAGATCCATATTGGGTTTGATCTATGGACGTCACCCAACAACTACGCCTACCTTACAGTCACTGCCCACTTCATCAACAGTATAGGCCAGCACCAGTCTCGTCTCATCGCCTTCAACCACATAAGCGGCGATCACAGCGGTCCCAACATATCCAACAATATCTACGAGACTCTTCAGCAATGGGATATCACTGGTAAAGTGGGTGTGGTGGTCTGTGACAACGCCAGTAATAACGATACCTGCATCTCTGCCCTCTTCAGGAGACTCGACCCTATAATGGATCAGGGGGACTATCAGGCAAGGAGAATACGATACTACGGCCACATACTCAACCTGGTGGCACGAGCCCTTCTTTTTGGTACTGATCGCAAAGTCACTCTTCTACCAGTCTATCCATTATAAGGAGGAAGATCTGAAACTCTGGAGGAAGACCGGGCCTGTTAGTAAGCTTCGCAACATCGTGAAGTTCATCAGGGCTTCTCCTTAGCGATCTGAGCGATTCAGGAAAGCAGCCCAAGAGGTTGATGCTGGGTCAGACTTCGAGCTATTCAGCTAGGGGTCTCAGGAGTCATATCTTCTTCTCAACAACGAGACGAGATGGAATTACACCTACCTCATGATCCATCGAGCTCTTTAGAAGAGGGCAGAGATCGAGACCTACATCAACTGGGTCCAGGAGCAGTACAATACCAATAAAAGGATACCTAACGATAACCTCCTTTCTTCAGAAGATTGGAAAGTCTTGGTTAAAGTCAAGTCTATCCTTAAGCCTTTCTACCTATAGACGAAGAGGACGGAGGGATGGGGTAAGGGGGATGGGCATGGTCGTCTCTGGGAAGTCATGACTGGCATGGAGTACCTCCTTGAGCATCTAGAGGAGTAGAAGAGTCTATACAACTCCATACTCCATCCCATTAATTCTTTACAGGAAGACGAGTCGTCTACGATCAATATGACTACTAATAAAGAGTCCCTACCATCACAGACTCGATCAGGGCGCCCCATTCGATCTTCAGTCAATAGCCAGACCCAGCCTCTTCAGGAATCCATACTTCCACAACATGTAAGAGAGGACTGGAGTCAACGTACTGCTCGATTCATGGGTTTCTCTTCCTCGTACCAGGAGCATCTTCGTACTTCTGTTGAGTTGGCCTGGCAGAAGCTCTCCTCATAAGCCGCTCAACAGCGAGAGATCAATCTGCGTTGTCATTTTAAGCCCGTCTCCTTCATTGAACGATCTACTCCGATGCGAGCTGAGAGAGATACCTCTGGGAAACTCATTACACGGTACAAGACCATACGAAGCGCTGTCGTACGTCTGGGGCAGGAGATGTGGTGAGCACTCAATATAGTGCAGCGAGTGCCGTGTTGACGTCACGAAGAACTGTTTAGAAGCTTTGCGTGATTTGCGGTATCCCGATCAAGAACGCGTGCTCTAGATTGATGCAATTTGTATTAACCAGTCCTACATCCCGGAGAAAAACATCCAGGTGGAGTTGACGGGAGATGTGCACAATTGTCTGGATTAGTACGGACGAGTCCCCGGATAAGTTAATGGTGTCATTGTTTCGACGATGCAGATGGGTGGGACTCTTTCTGAGAGCTTCGCCAAATATCAAGCGCTCGATACTGCGGCGTGAGTTATTCCTCTTCCGCATAACCTTGCGGAAGCGACCGTGAAGGCCGCATATGCTATGTCTGATCCTAAAGCTTACATGTAGGCTTATACGCATGTAGTGCCAAGCAGAAACGTTTTGAAGGCCATCGTACTTCTGACCAAGGTCCCTTGGTTTACAAGGACATGGACGCTGCAAGAACTGTGCTTATCTTGGCATGTGGTTGTCACGCTAGGAAAGTCTTCCCTTTCTTGGGTATCTTTGAATGCTTGTCTCAAGCACTGGACCACTCTCGCGAGTCGCAAACTTGGTCACCGATCAAGAGAGATCGATTCAATGAATGTCTTAGACAGGTTTGGAATGAAAGGGAATTACGGTCCAGCCTTACTCAGAGACAAATACGAAGACTCGGATACCCAAGAGCTGATCTCGGCATATCTTGCAACCCGATTGATAGTAACGATCAGAAGGAGAAACGCATTGGACAAACGCGACCAGAGCTTTTCACTCCATAACCTTCTCGGAAGGCTCGGTATCAGCCTGCCGAATCCGGATTACACGAAACCCGTCACCAGAGTATAGGAGTACCTCGCATTGGCCCTCTGTCTTTATTCGGGTTCATTTTGGGTTTTGCACCTGGGGTCTAGCAGAGATAAGGTGGACGGATTGCCGTCGTGGGTTCCAGAATTCAGCCAAGTCAGCCCTGGAGGGTTCAAAGATCAGTGGGACTTGCTTTCGAATCCTCCACAACTTGTTCCTGACGAAGTTTCGGCAATTAGCCTCTTACAAACTGGACGCATTACCGGACAATTATTAATCAGGGCTCGGCGGCTGCCGCCAGTAACGATGACAAGCGGATGCCGGGTACCAAGCACAAGGCACTTTTCAACGACAGTAAACTACCGCGAGGATATGAAGAATTCACGTGCAGTCCTACCTGCAGTAGACGAATAGTTTCTTTTTGCTGAGAGCCTAGAATTCTTCCCCTTTCGGAGACGTGGCGCTGAAGCTTCACGTGCTCTCATTTTGACTGGAGTTTAGCAACCAAGAAGACAAAGGACGATGAAATCAAGACCAAGGTGGATGTCACAAGGCGTTGGTGGGCAAACTTTTACAGGGGACTCATGATGGGTTTCACTCCCGAAAGACAACGGTCGACAAAGAAACTCGTCAAATCCGTTCCTCAACGTGGACGAGGCGCGAGCGCAGGCTGCGAGAGACCCAATGCACAGTCCATTGGCTGGTCAATGATGAACGAGAATATGACAGACATTGACACAACGTCTAGCGTATTGTTGGCTTGTCAGGGCCTGAGCCTTTGCCTGGTTGGTCAAGGCATGCTCGCGGTATGCGACGGCCAAGTCCAACCCGGTGACGTGCCGGTGATCGGGGCCGGGCTAATGGCAGAGCTGATCCTCCGACCATGAGGCGAGGAGTTCGAGGTGGTAGGAACTGCTCGTATCCTGAACTTCGAGGATGACGAAATCCCAGAGCCGTTTTCTGGCTTGGACGATGACAGGTTGGAGACATTGACTTTAGTCTAGGGGACCGCTGTCAACTAAGCCCTGCTTCCCCCCCTCCCCCACCATGGGTTGATCATTTCACGGATCGGAATTAGACGATATAAATGCCCTGTTTGAGGAAACAAAGCCTGTGCGAGTTGTGAAACGAAAACGAGAAAGAGTTGAGACGGTCTGGGTAGAGTCAAGGTTGTATCAATGTTGAATCGGGAAACTCATTCGATGACATGACATGGGGTAGTCCGAGCTGGTCATGCCTGACTCGACGACATCCCCTCACGTCACAGTCGTGGGTTTTAATTGTTCTATATCTTGATATTTCGCACGATATTTCACACGAATAAGACTGCATTAACGTATGAAATTTGATCGAACTTCAGGTCGCCAAGGGCTGCAGCCAAGCAGTGGTTGTTCCAGTATTGAGTCGGCGGCATGGACGTGATTCCGTCTTGAAAACCGAGCCGGTGGGAGTAGGAAGATAACATATCTAGCATGTCGTACTCGAGTGGTCTGAATCGTCTGGACTTTCGGTACCTGAAACTAGAACTCGAACTAAGTTGCTTCTTTAGGGGACCGATATGAAATGTATGTGGCTCGCATTACCAAATCGCGCAGCTCGCCGGTCATCACATCGCCGTACCCTTAGCTTCATCTTGCACAACCTCCTACAACCTTGGCCCTGTTGATAGGAGACAGCCTGCAGGAAGCAACGCTCCGCTCACATCGCGGATGGCGCTGCTCCCACACCGAAAGTCAAGACCGTCCCAACTTTGCCTCATGAGAGAGCCGGCAGTCCCAAATTTCAGGCTAGGCTCATTGGTGACATCGGGACCTGCGGCAGCCAAGTCGCCTTGGGATGGGCCTGGCCCTGCCATCACCTCCTCCCTCTCATTCGCGTTATATGGACGTCGTAGTCGTGTGCAAACCTCGTTCACAGGTTCCTTGCCCACCTATTATCCGTCACCTCATAATCCAACCCACCGAGCTGGAACGATCTGAAGTTCCTCCTCGTTTGTCTCCTCCCTCCCTCCCCACCACACTCTCTGTAATCTTAAAGGAAGCAGAAATTCAATCCTTTTTGTCCAAGGAGACGGGCTTCCGGCAGGCTCACGATGTTACTACGTTCTCTGTTGTCTTTTACCTTTGCTGCGGTCATAGTCCTCGCCGCTCCTGTCTCTATACAACATGCCAAGTATAAACGCGACCTGGCTACGATTCAAGCTGCCCTCAACACCATCAACTCTGCGCTTCAGGGTCTCGACAATTCTGTGAAAGCCACCAACACGGTCACCCTCGGAGGCGGTATCCAGCTCTTGAACGCCGTCGGCAACGTGAAGAGTTCCATCGAAGATGCCACGACCCAGGTCCAAGGTTCCGAAATCCTCAATAAAAAGGATGCGCTTAACCTCAAGGCCTCGACGGATGCTCTCACCAACAACGTCAAGGTCACCATCAATGACGTCGTAGCTAAGAAGTCTCTGGTTGATTCCTTGGGCGCAACACCGCTGGTGGCTGTTGCTCTCCAGGGTCAAAAGTCCGCTAGTGTCGCCCTCGCCCAGGCTCTCGTCAGCAAAGCTCCTCCCGAACTCACCGGTGACGCTCAAAAGAGCGCGACGGCTCTCAGCACCGTTTTGGATCAAGGCATCGGCGTCTTTGGCGGCACCTCCGTCGATCCTCTCCCTGCCGCGCCCCCACCAGGTCCACCGGCCGCCCCTCCCGGTGCCACGACTGTTTGCCAAGCTGTGATGCCGGACGGGACCGCCGTCGGGCTAGCGACTGCTATTGACAATCCCCCGCCCCCTCCCCCAGCAGAAGCTCCGGCGGCGGGAGGAGGTGGAGGAGGAGGAGGACTTTTGGGCGGATTAATGGGATTGCTCGGTCTTGGGAAGCATTAAAACAAGGATAAAATACGTGTACGATCAAGCAGGAGTTTGGGCATGGGCGCGGGGATGTATTGCGGCAGGGTCCGTCACGAACATGCTAAGCGACCGTCACACATAAAATTGGAGAATCTCTCTCGGAATTAATATACCTTGAACTTAAGAGGGACCAAATTTCGCTTCAACCGGTGTACTTTCAAGTACTCGCTCTTCCTTTTTGAGCAGTACTCGTACGTGTGCCACTAGCCACTGACTCTCAATATAACTACATGTAGACCTAAGGGAATAATAAAAAGGTGGCAAGATCAACGATAGAGACGTCTGAAACATGTCATGGGATGATAGGATGAATAACCCTCAATTCTTCCGTCGATGCGGTAGAAGTTCATAAAGATTGACATATGAGTAACTAAGGGATGAAGATTTATACACTAACGTGGATTACTATATACAATAATTGGCAAATATGTACTGGAATTTCATCATACTGCTGTTATTCCAGCAACCAAACTGACCCCGATAATATCCTTCCCGGTATACCACCACATGTACTGTCTAGATTCATACTCATGAGCCCTCTATTTCATGGGGTTCCCCTCCCGCTCCTGCGCTGTAAACTTTTGTACTGATGACCGTCGAGCAAGGGGACGTCCCTCGTAAGGGCCGTGACCGTCACGATCAAGACTCAGTGGGATCTCTCCAGACGTCGCCTGGCTTTCTGGTCGCAACGGTGTCCTCGCGTCTTCAGGGTCTGTGTATCTGCTAAATCGCGATTGAATGAAGAGCGGCTGTGCTACACCGTAGTAGCTGACCGGTGGTGTTTGGAAAGGATTGTCTCTGAACTCAGACTGACCGACTTCGACCTCGTTTAGGTACGGCGCAGCAGACCTGCGCACTGACATCATCCGAGAAATACCACCGCCAGCGGACCTCATGGAGCCACGCATGGACCTGACAGATCCACTGATTGATCTGACACGGCTGTATGCTTTTGGTCTGGGCGGTAGTACGACAGGCTTCTCGCCGTTCATACGTCTTGTGCTGAAGGCAACAATGGTGCGGCCAGAGCCGTCTCTACCCAGGCCGGATGAGTCGACGACTTCATACGGGTGGCCCAGTCCGGCAAGCTCGTCTTCGATCTCTTCTCTGGTGAGGAGGGCAGCTTCATAGTCTTCTTCGCCAGGCTTCGGTTTCCTGGAATAGTCTCCGGGGCCCTTTGATCCGTTGGGAACGTGGAACAAAAGATCGATACGGGCAACGGCGTAGAATACCACGACGAAAATTTCCAACATGAAACCGGTAGTGTAAAAGACCTCTCTGCTGAAGAGTTTGTTGGGTGTGTTGGGTGGCTCGGCCATCAAAGTTGCCGCGAGACGCACGGCATGACCACCAATCAATAAAGTGGCGCCAATGAATAGGACCGCAATCTTCTGATGAGTGTCACCTTGCCCGAATCTCTCAGGTCTAGGACCAGGGATCACTGCTGCGATGATGACGATAATGACTGGCAAGACCGCGAGAAGCATAATCCAGGAGACACCCGCCTTGAGAACGTTGAGCGCCGTGTCAACGCGGTCTTGGTCCTCAATCTTGAAGAATGAGACACCAATCGACGTACTGTTTGAGACAACCACGGCCGGTACCGAGAAGAGGAAGAAGAGGATGAAAACCCGGAAGGCGGGATGCCATCCAAAGTGAGGATGGATCGACCGAACAATTCTTTGAGCAAAGAAAATGTTGACCACCATTACCACAACAGCTCTAAAATTTCAATTAGTAAAAGGTCCTAGTTGCGAGGAGTGGCTTGAAACGTACCCTCCGAATTGGACGATGAGTGCGACCAGAATTACTACTCGGCCCTTCTCGAATGCCCACACGATTCTCATGATACAGGTAACGGTTCTGACCATACAGAAGTCGAACATGAGATCCGAGAGTAGGAACTTGTGACCACGTTTGGCATTGGCTCGGTAGATCCTGATGTGCGTATACGCACCAGCCGCGAAGAGCAACAGGAAGAGGAATGTAACCGGTACATCAATATTAGTCGTTGGGTCGCCGCCGATAAAGGCACCTTGGGCAGGATCAACCAGTCGCTCAGTTGGAGGCTGGGGGGCTACTCCTTGTGGAGGAGGCTGCTGTACTGCAGCGCCAGTCGTGCTAGCCGGCAAAGCAATCGGCATCGATGTTGCTGTCCTTGGCTGGCTTGTCGTTGTCGTTGTTGGTGCTGGGGGCGGAGAAAATACCGGTGGAGCTGCCGTAGTAGATGGAGCTTGCGACGTTGTTGATGTCGTTGGAGGAGGAGGCGGCAGAGGAGGCGGCGCCACGGAAGTAGATGTTCTCACGGTGGTTGGCGGTGGAATCGATATCGATGTAGACGTCGTCGTTGGCGGTGGAGGTGGAGGCGGCGGCGGCGTTGTAGTCGACGCTGTCGATGTTGAGGTTGGTGGGGGAGGCGGCGGTGTTGTAGTCGACGCTGTCGATGTTGAGGTTGGTGGGGGAGGCGGCGGCGGAGGAGGTGGAGGGGGTGGAGTTGTTGCAACGGCCGCCGTTGTTGATGTTGGTGTCGTCGATGTTGGGTCAGCTTGTTGTTGTCCGGTTGGCAGCTCCGCGATGAAAGAAGTTGCATCAGCAAGTTGCCTCTCTTCCAATTGGACTGGTTGCAGAGGCCCCAGTTGAAGGCCTGCTGCTGCTGCAGCTGCCGCTATCGTAGCGAATTTGAGGAGCCACATGTTGGTGCGTGAGATGAATGAGGGCCTCGTATGCCTCTCAAAGATTCTCTCAGATGCGATGATAATTAGTTTTAAGCCATGCCAGCATGTGGTATCGTGGGAAAGTAGGTCAGATGCCTTCGATGGCCGATCTCGAAGAAGAATTAAAAATCAAAAGAACGCTAGCACATGAAAAGAAAAAGGCAGACTTGTCACCTTGCACCACCTCGAGATATGAGGTTGACCACCGCCTGTTGAAGAGGAGGGGCGGAGGGTTAAACAGAGCTAGGATTTCGTGCAACCCAGGCCCCGGTCGGAAAAGTCGGCTGGAAACACTGACGACTTGATTACCCTGAAAGGTGGTGTACGGTCCTTCCAAGGAGGCTTACTGTCTGGTCATCCCGGAAACAGAACAAAGCCGTGTCAAGATCCTCTTTGTGGCGTGCGTCACTCGGATCTGTGTGTAGGTTGATAGAGTTAGAGGAGGGGTTTCAGCGACAGGGTCTGCCCGCCACACACCCGCGCGGATACATGCACCATCCCTTTTTTCTACTACACCCGCTATGATTTTCCTATAGTCCGATCTTGAACTTTGGGCCTTGATTGAAAAGACGACGAGCATGCCCTCCCAATTGAGCCACTTCCCATGGGATGCGACCTATCACGCCCCAGACGGTCAAAGGGTTTTGACGTTCTGAGGCAGCTCCGTGACAGCCTGTGAAAGATGAGATGACCGTCCGACATACCCGGCCTCCTTGGGCTATCCTCTTTAAACATGATGGAGTTATTATGGCACCCAATGAAACATCCAGAGCGTAGAAAAGCGACTGGGAGGAGAGGAAGGCCGGTAGGAAGCCGGTAAGCAGCCGGCACATAGTATTAGTGAGGCGTACATGGACCATAACACCGATTCATCGACGCCCTGCATCCCACGTACCAGCCGCAACACACCACAGCTGAGTTGCGGTCGAAGTCATCGTCCGAAAAAAGTAACCTGGTAGTAGGATCGCAAGGCTCGGATTGTGTGTGCCTGTAGCCGATCAGCCGGTCTGCTGCCAATCACAGCGAATACGGATACGGGGTTCGTCTCTTGGGTTCCGGGATTGCATAGGGAAAGTCTACCGACCACCCTCAACGTAAACCGTCTCGTAGTCCTCAAGCTTGCATAGTCACTCCATGCAACCCTCTTTTACGGCAGAGGGTCGGCAGAGGGTCCCGGAAGATGGAGTCGCCAGGGAGCTCTAGTCAACAAAACACAACTTGAAGCCATTGATCGTCGCTACTCTCTCACTTCAGAATATTTGTTGATGCTTATCTAGGTTCAGATGGCAAAACACGGCATGTGAGTATGGAGGCTAATTGCCATTTCTAAGCATCTCATGATTCGCATCAAGCCTTCAGTCCTCAACATTGCATGGCATTAAACCCGATATGTCCAGATAGATGTGGTGCTAGTATCGAGATCGGGCCCTGACGTCGCTGCCATCATTGGGGGTGGAGTTGGGCCCTGTGGCCCTACAGGAAGGCTGATGTCAACTAGTCATCTAACATCGCCATGATAAGGACTGTCCCTAGTTCAAAAGTCCACATGTTTGAGATCATGAGTCTCTCCTCGATCGATGTTTGTCTGAAGAGGCTCAAATGGGTAGTGGAGGGTGACATGTCGGCATCGAAGGCACGCAATAAGCGGCATGCTCTCCTATTGGTTGGATGGCTTTGTCTTTGACATCCCGCATGCGTTTCTACATTAAGAACAGCATGTGCCTGCTTCCCCCCTACCCATATTGGGTGCTATTTATACAAACATATACTCCATTAGTGCTGACGGGAGCCATTTAAGCTTGATGATGCCCTCGTATCAACAGGTGCTTGCTGCGGTACATGCCATCTCATTCAGCCGCGATCCTTCAGAATGATTTATAGGATTGGGATTCCCGAATTGCTGACGGGGCTGGGATTTCGGTCGCCGACAGAATCTCACAGCTGAAGGAGCCATCACCGGTGAGCACTCGCAACCTCCTGCAAAGTGGCATCGCCCACTATCATGTCGCACCGGATGTTTGATGAATGTTGGCTCTCAATTAGGCAGCGCAGTTTGAAGTTCATCTTCGATTGCCTCTTTCTCTACAGTAGTGGCGTTATGGCAATGCGTCGCTCGTCATCAGTGGGATGCATAAGATATGCCGTGTCTAGAAGCATTTGATTCGATGACAGTGAAGCTTTTGTGTGTGGACATGACGGCCGATCAACCTCATCCTCTTGAGTGCAGCTTTGAATGCCCAAGTAGATAGTGGCAAATCTCTCACCCCCCAATCAATAGCTCAGTTCTATCCCACAGTTAAGATTAGGTACAGTGATCAAACTGGGTATAAGATCCGAGTTGACACTCACACTGATGGAAGTCTAATTATTGACAATTGGCACGGTCTCGGGGTGCGGACATTGCCAAATCGCAACAGCCTGTCTGCACTGACACCCGGTAGGCTTGCTGGACGTCAGCTGTTCTTTGACGAGAGTGCGCCAAACCTAGACCTGAATGAACGTTACTAGAACGATTCTTTGCAGCACCTTCCATTTCCCAAATAAAGTCGAATCGATTGAGTGTCGCTCTCCTCGACGAAGCATGTTGGCGTAATAGACCCCGTTGAGCTTTGATATGAAACTATGAATGATGAGGTGAGCCGATTGGCCAACACGCGAACTTGCCTTCCAACAGAGGTTAGTCCGTTTCACCAAACAAAAGGCGTCTTGGGAATCCAAGATTAGTTAGTCTTCTTTAGAGAAAAAAACTAGTTTGCTTAACCTCCAATTTTCAATCGATCATGATGAGAACGCCACCGGGGCCTACCGTAGGTCTTCTGATCTATTCCGTCCGTGCCGTCTTCGGGAGGCCGAGGCATTGCGGTGCCTGACAGCAAACGTTAAAATCTTCTACTACGATTTACTCAACAAGCGGATTCGCCTCCAACCGCCCTCCAAAACCTGCCCACAGACATTCGCATAATCTTACCTGGCATCAGATCAGGGGAACTGAGCCATCAAGATGAAGGTGCAAGAAATTGACTTTCCGCGTCTCCATTTCCCAAAAGTCCCAAAAGTCTAGAACTTTGGCCATTCTCGGCCCGGCTTCTTGCTTTGCGCTCACTTGTCATCATCTCATATTTCCTTCCTTGACCATGAATGTTGGTCATGTCGGGACACTCGGTCTCACTTCACCTTAAAGAGCCGCGATCGCGAACAAAATGACGGAGGCAAGAACCAGCATAGAGGAAGGTGCGTTATGTTGCTCGTACCTAGTGTTAAAGAAGAGGCGATTCTGAGTGGCTTAAGTCACTGCCAGAAGGACGGGCGTATGCATCTATGGACTAATCGTGAAGCTGAACTGTAGACATCGCCAGTAGCAAATTCCTTAGCCCAGGCTGAAGGTAGCCTCGGTAGCCAAGGACTCTCGAGCCTACCTATTGTACCGCAGCCCGAACAATCGCAGACATTACCAATCCGGACTGTCGGACTGTCCTGCAGTGTTTAGGCATTTTCCCCAGGCTGCGAGCCCTTCTGAAGATCATCCATAGGGCTGGAAATGCGTCGGATACTCCATTTACACATAATCTCACGTCAGATGGGGCTTGCAAGAACACATCACCCAAAGGAATACGATTGCCGAGCAATGCAGTATTAGTGCTTCCTTGCTGGTGCTTACTCACACGGTCGACACGAGGATGGCTACAACAGTTGTCCCCGCATCTGGGCTTCAGGATAAGTAAGAAGGTTTCTGGAAGCTGGACAAGCTTGCCTCTGCGACCAGTGCTTTGAGCTGGAGCCTTCACAAAGGAACTCACTCTAGTTCCTTCCTAGGTCACAATCTAGAGTAAACTCAAAATCATCTCGTCAATCTCACAGCAAGGCTTTTCTGTTGGTTTCAGGTGGAAATTAGTTTCCCCAATTGTTACACCAGCAATTGTAACTAAATCAAAGGGGACTCCCTTCTCAAGATTATGATATAAAATCGCCTACATCACGATGTTTAGACTTCTCCCGGGGCCTCGGGATCATTCACTTGTTGGGAGACGGGGCCTCGGAGTGAGACAAGTACACTCCGTGTCCCCGAAAGCGAGCCATTCTCCAACGCGAGCGGGGAATATCAGTGAAAATGTCTTGGTATCAAACACGAATGACAAGCCACCCGAGGCTATCTTTGACTCCCTCGCACTTTAGCTCGGTTTACTAAGTCCGCTGGCGTAGTAATACTACCAGTAGGCCGTGGCACCAGATCACCCGCAAGGGTTCCGACAAGCCTCCGAGAGCTACTGCGGGGTAGCAGTCGATTGCCATTCTCGTCAATATTGCGGAGGAACTCAAAGCCCCATTGTGCCGATGTTCCTTTTCACACCGGGTTATTGTTAAGGAATAGCGCGGAGACCACACATCTACAGGTATGGTGATCCAGACACAATCGGACTTAGCGCCCGACTATAGCACACCGGTGTTCATTAGTCTGAAGAAGCGAACCAAAATCTACGAAGGATTCAACGCGGAGTCGCGGACCTCGGCAAAGTTTGGACCCGACATTTCATACAGAGTTAAGATCGCATCAAATGGACCTTAAGACCAAGGAGCTGAAGGCTCAAGATATCAGCGTTTGCTAGCATCAAGATTAAGCCACGAAGTTCGAAGCAGTGACCAAGTTTAAAAAACATCAATCAACATGTCGTCCGAAAACTTGTTCCCCCGGCCGCCATACGACGCCCAACTGATCCCGGCCCTGGACCGCATGACAGCTTACCCGCGATCAAGGGATGGCATAGTCCATGGGCGACAACTACGAGCCACCGCAATGGCACCAATGCAAGCAGCAGTACGAAACGACGAAAGACTACTGGTAGAAGACCGCACAATCGCCGGACCGGACGGGGAGATTCCCATTGTCATCTTACAGCCCCGGAACCCAAAGACGGCGAGCGGCAAACGTCCAGGTATCGTGTTCTACCACGGCGGTGGCATGGTCCTCGGCGACGCCTTCCTTGGGATCCAGCCGTTCGCGCGCATGGCAAAGGACTTTGATGCCGTCGTCGTAAGCGTGGAGTACCGCCTGGCACCAGAGCATCCGGCGCCCGCGCCGCAGGACGACTGCTACGCGGGTCTTCTCTGGACAAGTGAGCATGCGCAGGAGCTAGGTATCAACCCCGCGCGCCTCATGATCGCGGGCGTCTCCGCCGGCGGCGGTCTCGCGGCTGGAGCGGCACTGAGGGCGAGGGACACGGGAGGGCCGAAGCTCTGCGCGCAGCTGCTCGTATATCCTATGCTCGACGACAGGGACACGGGCATCTCCAAGAAGCAGTTCAGGAACGATACTTGCTTTGACGCGCTAGATAACAACGCTGCATGGGGTTGCGTCTTGGGAGACAAGGCGGGCGTGGAGGATGCGGACGTGAGTCCCTATGTTGCGCCGGGCAGAGCAAAGGACCTGTCCGGACTGCCGCCGGCGTATATCGACGTCGGAACTGCGGAGCCGTTCAGGGATGAAAACGTGGCGTATGCTACGAAGCTATGGGATAGCGGCGTGCAGGCGGATCTGCATGTCTGGAGTGGTGGATTCCACGGGTTCGACTTACTGGGCCTCGCTGTAGGGTCAGATGTTGCCAAGGCTGCTCTCGAGACGAGAATGGGATGGGCCAGGAGGCTGTTTGGTACGCAGTAGATGTTTGATGCTAGCTCACGATCAGATAGACTACTAGGTAAGAATACGGAGGGAATTGCATGAGACCGGTCACCGGTATGCTGGTTGTTGAACCATCAGTCGCCAAGCCTCTTGAAAGCGTGTGGTCCCAAACTTGAGCCGCCTCCTGACTGCAAACAGTCAGGGAAAACTCTTTATTCCATCCGGACCACCGGTTGACTTCCAGGAGACAGAGGAACAAGCTCATATGTGAATGCTTGCTTCGCTAGTGAAACGGAAAACAAGAGCCCGTTATCAAGAGCGCTAACAGATCTCGCAGAAACGCAGCCAGGAATTCACAATGAACTTGACTCAGCCACCTATCTGATGGCCACTGAAACAGTCTGACCTTAATTCGGATACGGAAACTGCGCTGCAAGCGGTCAGATATCTCACTTGTCCTTCAGGCGCCTAGCGCCTAGCCAATGCGTTGCAGGTCAACGTCAGATGAACGGATTGAGAGAAACGACATCTGCAGCGTCCCAAATAAAACAAAACACACGAGCGCGCAGCCGCCGCCGGTCCACGTCAAACTCACCTTAGTCACCGACGGCGCGCGGCTGGCTGGCGAACAGATCCTCTCGGGGGGCCTCCCCATCCTGCCTCTCAACCATACCAGTGCGAAGGTAAACCTGACTGTATCGTCTAAGCGCCAAACAAAGAGAGCCGGGTCAAAGTTTGCAGGCGACAGATTTCCGTGCTGTCAAACGCCAAACTCGGATGACGGAACCGAATTGACAAGAGCAGATATTCAAACAGTGAGGCAGAAAATTCTCCACAGGGAGGGGACGGGAAGGGGAAAAAGGTGAGGCAGGAAACGATACAGGAGATTCTTGGTGTCCAACATCTCCATTGCATCTAGGAAGGTGCAATGAGGCCCGTCAAGAGGTGTGTGCCTTCGTTTCAGGGGTTTGACGTGGTTCTCCATGCTTGCGCGGCTGCCGTCAATGCGGGGACAGAGTTAACAACGAGGAGAAGAGATGAGAGGAAAGCTCAGAAACACGACGTACAGTCTGCAAGGGGAAGAGAAACGATGGCCACTATACTGAGAGGGCGGAAAATGAAACCCATGACTAGGAAGACACTTCGAGACGCGTTCCGCGCCTTGGCCATCCGGAGCCACGGGCTCCCGTCATTAGTCCAGACGGCACAGCCCGCCGTGCGGTCTGCGTCGATCATGGCGATCGATCCATGATCCCTCATTTGTGCCTGGCTAGGTAAGATGGATGTTTGAGACGTACATATTGTCACGAATTATGGCACGCAGCAATGGGCATATGAAGTGTGGTAAAAGTGGCTTGTATTAACCCAAATAGGATCGAGCAAGGAAAGGTGCTATATTGGAAAAAATGAGAGAATCACGTGATAATGCACGTGATGGGCTGATTACAGAGTGCTAATACTATTCCTATTTCGTAACTGTAAGGGGCTGGCCCCTAGGCTTATTCAACGTAGAGGTGCCGTCGATTGACTATTCTAAGCTGAGGAGGAAAAGAAGGAATTATAAGGGTTTGCGTATAGCTATAGTATAATATACCCGGACTCGACGGTATATTATAATAGAATAGTGGCTCTAGTAAAGCCGGACATCTCGACCGGCTCCGGCCTATAGTATAATTAAATATAATAATCGGTTAACGTGAATGATAAGCGAGTGAGACAGACAAGCGAGTGAGACACAAAACTGCGCCGATGATGCTTCAACACAAATGGAGACGTTTCTTCCACAACACATCATGGCATCCAGAAGTAATGAGTCAGGCATACAGCTGGCCCTTCAAGCTATCAGAATCAATCCAGAGCTTAGTGCACGGGCTGCAGCTACGATCTACTCGGTCAGCCATGCAACATTGAGTCGACGATTGAAGGGCTCTACATCTCGAAGCGACAGGATACCAAACTCGAGGAATCTTACTTTGCTAGAAGAGCAGACGTTAGTTGATCACATTCTCGATCTAGATGCCCGATCATTCCCTCCCCGGATCCGTGGTGTGGAAGAAATGGCTGATCGACTGCTTGCTGATCGCGACGCGCCTCCGGTTGGGAAGCGCTGGGCCTTAAACTTCGTCAAACGACAACCACAATTGCGGACGCGGTTTTTTCGGAGGTACGACTACAAGAGGGCCCAATGCGAGGATGCAGAGGCTATTCGCGGCTGGTTCGCTCTTGTGAAGAACACAATCGCGAAGTATGGTATCGATGAGTTTGATATCTACAACTTTGATGAGACTGGCTTTATGATGGGCCAGATTGCATCTGGCATGGTTGTCACAAGTACTGAAAGGCGTTCAAACACAAAAATGGCGCAGCCTGGTAATCGAGAATGGGTTACAGTGATTCAAGCCATCAACTCGCAAGGCTATAACGTCCCGCCGTACATCATCGTTGCAGGCCAATATCACCTCTCAACCTGGTATACAGAGTCAGGTTTCCCGGACGACTGGGTCATTGCGACGTCAGAAAACGGATGGACAATAAATGAAAGAGGCCTAGATTGGATCCAGCACTATGATCGTCATACGAAACCACGTTTGAGAGGCCAATATCGCCTCCTTGTCGTCGACGGGCACGAAAATCACCACTCAACAGACTTTGAGCTATATTGCAAGGCAAACAAGATCGTTACACTTTGTATGCCGCCTCATTCGTCTCATCTACTCCAGCCCCTTGACGTTGGGTGCTTTGGTCCGCTAAAGACGGCGTATGGGCAACAAATTGAGGATAAGATGCGGCGGGGCGTAACCCACATCTCAAAGGAGGACTTCTTTCCTGCATATCGCAGCGCATTTAGTCAAGCGATGACTGAAAAAAACATCCAAGGGGGTTTTAGAGGAGCTGGGCTTGTTCCTCTGAGTGCAGAAAGCGTCCTATCAAAGCTGGATATCCGGCTACACACTCCAACGCCTCCAGCATCACTACCACAGACACCTCCGCCTTGGGTTTCAAGGACACCAAACAACCCAGTAGAGGCAAGCTCTCAATCCAACTTTATTAAGAGTCGGATCACTCGTCACCAAAGCAGCTCCCCAACCTCTATTTGAGAGGCTGTTGAACGACTTTCTAAAGGTACAAGAGGCATCATGCACCAAGTAGCCTTACTTAGATCTGAGGTACAGATTCTTAGAGACGAGAATAACCAACTCAGTCGACGACGGAGAACTAAGAAAACACGCCTACAACATGGAGGAAGTCTTACTGTAGCTGACGCAGCAGATATACAGTCACAGAAAGATGTGACTGCGCAGGTTCAGGAGGAAATGCGTCGTACTAGTGGTCGCAAACTGAGGGCTGAGACAGGTCAGCGACGGTGTGGCGTTTGTGGTCACCCGGGACACAATTCACGAACGTGCCAGTTTATTGAAGAGATGTCTGAAGATGAGGATTATGAGTAGTTTGAATTGAATTGATGCTGTTGATGTTGATATGGAAGCCAGTTTATCTCATCGGCGCAGTTTTGTGTCTCACTCGCTTGTCTGTCTCACTCGCTTATCATTCACGTTATTATAAGTTACGGTCAGATAGCTTCTTGATAAAGGGGTATATATAGCGCTCTAGTAAGGTCAGAGATCTTAACCGGGCTCTAGCCCGTAATATTACCTTCCCGTCCCCCTTAGGTGGCGCGCTCGCGGCGCTAACGCCGGGTCTTTATTATACTTTATTATTAAGCTATAGCGGTAACTATTTATAAGCCTTTATTATTTTTATATTCTAGAGCGCCTTAATAGGCTCTTAAGTTTACTCTAACGTGGTTCATCAGTCAGCGACGAATATCAGTGTTACGCCCGCCGCAACTTGTCACTGTGGGCGCGTAGCTATATATGCAGAACAAGGGACAATGATGACCGGAGTCATCATTATCGAAGCTTTTGCTTTGTGCCACAGTTGGTTGCCTTGTCCAGCTCGTAACAATCAGTCAGCGACGAACTTTTTCCCAAATGCGGTTTGCACTAAACCGCTCCAACCTTTAACGCATAATAACTCCACAACCATTAGTTATAAGAAGAAAAGTATATATTATAGATTACCTAACTTATCGTACGCTATTATAGCGGCACGGTATATTATATACCCAAAGGGCGCTCTGGTTGATCGGGCTTAGTTAATTAGATAGCTAGGCTCCTGTCCCTAATGATGTTAAATACTACTACTACTACTACTACTACTACTACTACTACTACTACTACTACTACTAGACACATGTTCAAGCTCTCGGGCCTGGCTTGCCAGCGAGAGCATAGCAAAAAGATAACCAATCCAGCGACAGCTATTTTTCCTCTTCACTATCGCTTCAGTGACCTCAGGGGGCGGCCAGAATAGTGCGGGAGATTTTCAGTAACCGCTCTCTAAGCACATTTTGGGATTGTTGGCATGGTACGATGGATGTCGCCTGCGGCGGCGCGGCCCTGCGTTGCAGCTTTTGGAAGGCCTGCAGGCTGCAGGAAATCCCCTGCCGCGATCCACCAGCTTGCGCCATCAACACAAAAGTTCTGCGCCGATCCGCATACTGTCAAGTGAGTGTGCGGCGCAGGGAGTTTTCGCCGCGGGACGAGATCCGCGGTGCCGTCCCTAGCTCCAACCGTTGGATGGACTTGACTGGGGCTTTGCGGGACAACGTCCGTTTCTGGCTTCATCGGCAAGCTCGTTGTGAATACCATGAAATTCACTAGCTAATGTGCACCGTGTTTAAGATTCTGTATTGAATGCCTCGATCGACTTAGTTGAGAGTCTGGTGCCTGATTTTGGAAGCGTACATGTGGACACAATCTTAAGTTCGACATTGTAGGTCAAAGTACGGGCACCTAGCCTCTAGGTATGGACTCATGGAGGACTGGAGATTTGGAGACTAGGCGAAGTACATGCGTCCCCATATCCATCACTCCACACATCTGTCTGTGGATAGGAGCGGCACCAATTCGCTGACCCGTTGTACGGATACAGTGAATCTCGCCTTATCTATAAGTGGAAATAACACCGACTCACATCGCTTTCTTCAAACAAAGTCGCTGAAGGCCTATGAGCTACTGGACGGGAAATAAAGAAAACGGGATGGAGACCTGGCCTGGTTGTGTTGGTCCTCTCACCCAGAAACAACCAACGAATGCAACCAAAGAATCCAACAGTGGGTTCTGACCAGGGTGTTGCGGCCTATTCTGCTTGTACAGGCTAGTAACATGCAGGTGGCTGAATATGTCTGCGATTGCTGACTATGGGATGTTAATGAACATGCATCCTGTTATCAGACATGAGGCGAAGACTCGAAGTCGCGGAAGTTGAGACAAGAAATCCCCTCGTTGTGAATTGATGACTTTCTCTCCCGCATCATTCTAAGAACACTCGCAATAAAGTCAGAAAGAAAAACGCCATGTCGTCTTCTCAAGACCTCGATTCTCCCTTCGATTAAATCGTTGTTGGTGGAGGAACAGCTGGTTTAGTTGTGGCTTCTCGCCTCAGCGAAGATGCCAGCACTCGTGTTCTCGTTGTGGAAGCTGGCGCCGATAAGAGTGCTGATACTTTGGTATTGACACCTGGCTTGGTGGCAGGTGTCTATGGGAAAGATGAATATGACTGGGATTTTACCTCAGTTCCTCAGGTAAAGAAGCCCATTTGGCCGACTAAATGCAATCGCAAGCTGACGGTCGATAGCCTGGTTTAAACAACCGAAGGATCAACCAAGCACGAGGAAAGATGCTTGGAGGTAGCTCTGCTTTGAACTTCATGTTGATGCTGTATCCATCAAGGGGAGTTCTGGATGCCTGGAGTGCGCTTGGCAACGCCGGCTGGAGTTTCGACGAGCTCACGCCTTATTTCCGCAAGTTCGGCACAGATCACCCGCCTCCTCAATCCGCAAAGAACATAGTCGGGCTGGACTACCACGACGAGACTCCGATTGGAAAAGGGCCGATTCAAGTCTCTTTCGGTGAAGGCTGTAGCCCTATGAATGCTGCGTGGATGAGCACGTTCGACAAGCTTGGCCTCGGCGTGACTGGCGATCCTCGGAGCGGAAAGGCTTACGGTGCTTTCCAGAACCCGTGCAGCATCGATCCGGAGAATAAGACAAGAAGCTTCGCAGCGAGCGCTTACTACACGCAGGAGGTGGCTGCACGACCCAACCTGGCGGTCTTGACCGAGACACAGGTGAAGAAGATTATATTTGATACCACCCATGGCGGCGTAACTGCGACTGGTGTTCGCATTGTCAGCAAGAATGGCGAAGAGAGGACGATTGAGGCCAAAGTGGAAGTCGTCCTTGCTGCAGGCACTCTCCAAACGCCTCAGCTATTGGAGCTGTCTGGTATTGGTGAGAGCAATTTGCTTGAGAGTCATGGCATTCCCGTTGTGGTTGATAACCCCAACGTTGGAGAGAACCTGCAGGACCACCGATCGTCTGCCAGAGCTTCGAGGTTAACGACGGAGTCCCATCAGCGGACGTTCTCCGAGACGAGAATATCCTCAACGCCGTTGTCGGCGAGTATATGGCTACGCGTGAGGGTCCGCTGGGCCAAAGCACCATCAGCGCTGCTTACTCGCCTCTCGCCGACAACACCGGGCTGTTGCCAGAAGACGCGAAGAAAGCTCTGCTAGCTACACACGAAAATCATGCGAGCTCACCAGCTGGGAAGCTAGTGCGATCTCTCATCGAGACATCGGACGAGCCAAGCAGCGAATACCTGCTTTTCCCGTCTCAAATCACGATTAATGATCACCCGGCCAGCATGGCTGAGTACATCTTGCCCTCCAGACCGGAGAACTACATCACTGTTATGACGGTGCTGAACCATCCGTTTTCTCGGGGAACGGTCCACATCACCAGCCCCGATTATAAAGTGTTGCCGACATGGGATCCGAAGTACAACTCTGATCCCCTCGACCTGGAGCTATTGGCTCGCAACGTGCAGTTCGTCGAGCGAATCGTAGGCACCGAACCTTTCAGCTCGCCACTCAAGCCTGGAGGCAAAAGCTTGCCCGAGTTGAAGGGTAACGACCTGGAGACCGCCAAAGACATTGTGCGCCAAAGACAGATTTCGGTGTTCCATGTTTCAGGCAGTTGTGTCATGATGCCACGGGAGGATGGTGGCGTTGTCGACGATCGACTTAGGGTCTATGGGGCGAAAAGTCTTCGCATTGTCGATGCCAGTGTCTTCCTGATTGAGCCCTTGGGCAACATTCAGAGCACTGTCTATGCGGTTGCCGAAAGGGCAGCTGACATCATCAAAGAAGATAGGATGGCTTAACCTGGGACGAGGAACTGGAAATACGCTGTCGACACACGTCGTTGTAATCGCACTCGGATATGCTCAAAGAGTAATACTCAGAGTACGTCATGTATGTACTGCTTAGTCGGGCAGCAACAGCAAATCCTTGCGTCAAAGGCTGGGTTGTGTCATATCAGAAGCAGCTGTCGTCACCCATAAGCTTCAGAAGAACCTATGATGTTCTGGGCCTTCAAGAGCCTCAACGAAGAACTTAGAGAAATTACAAGTAGACTGATATTTTTAATTGCCTTGAATCTGGTCGAGAAAGACTTTGTGAGCATGACTGCATGTAATTCATATGAACTTTTGATCAATGGGAAGGAATTGTAATCAAGACGGCCCTACTTAAATCACAAAACCTAATTTCGCATCAATGATTCCAGTACTCCCTAGCGCCGTTCTCGCTCGCTTCGTTGTGATCTAGAAGAATCTTCTAATCGATCATACCTGACATGTTGATAGAATAGTTGCGCCAGCAGAATTGCCTCTAGGCAAAAGCTGGTATCAGAGATTGCCAATCTTCCCAGTCAAAAACTCAACTGCCTCGGGAACATGACGCTCGTAGTCAAGATGAGCAGGCGTGATCTCGAGGGTGCCGGTGCACACCTTGTCGCCTTCATTGCAAATGAGTTTGAGTTTGTCTTTGGGAAAATTGGGAATCTGCCCCTTATCCTGCTGGTTTTGGGTATCGCCATAGGTGATGACTCCCAAAATTCTGCTCTTGATTGGATCGGGGAGGTTCTCGATCGCGCGATGAGCGGTAGCAGCTCCTTGGCTATAACATCCATTCTGTCAGTCTCAACTTGTCAATGTTTCACTATGCCGTCACCGAATATTATGCATACCTATACCCTCCAGCCACGATTTTGGACTTGCCACACTTATTCGTAGCATCGGTCAGAAGCCGCTTCATTTCATCGACACCGACGGGGTCAGCTCCTCCGGGGAGGAAATTAGTCGTCAGACCAGCGGCGTAATCAACTCCTTCTGTTGCCACCTTGTTGTCGCCGTACCTCTTCTTTAGACCATCTGAAGTCGGGGGTCCAACGGTTGAGCCCTGGAATTTTTTGACGTCAGTCATCTGATGTATATATGTGTCTTTCCCCACATTCACATCGCGAATACGGTCCAGACTGGTCCGGACACGGGACTCCGAAGCGGGGCGGGGACTTACCATGTTTCCGACTTCCATGGAGCCCCGGGCGAAAATAAAGATGACATCACGGCAGCCTCCTTGGGTGTATTCTTTTGCTATTGTTCCAGTCTCGCGGCTTTGGAGTTGGACTGCACGGTGGTCCAGGTGGACAGGACTACAGACCGCAATTGCAGCTAAGGCTAGGATGGTAATTTGAGTCTTCATCTTGTAGTAATTGTAGAAGGTGTAAGATAAGGATAATTGTGACTACTAAGAGAAAATGGCGCAAGTGGAATGTCGTTGAAACTTGTAGTGATGGTGTGAAATTGTGAATCGAGGATCGACAGCTCTGATGGTCTGAGTTTATATCTGAAATTGGTCCATCGGTCCCGGTGATGAATTTGGAGTATCGATGAGGGTTTAAGGTTATGAAGGCGAACTCTTTGTCTCGGCATGAAAACATACACCGATTGAGACTTCATACGTAGCTTATGACGCCCACGCACCATGACTGGAGGCCGGTGGGAGTGTGCCAACATGTTGCAGACCACGTCTACTGGGCTTCCCTCGTCACGTCACTGCCAAAATGCTGCCAGAATCCCTGGGACTTTGACGTCGATGCATCAGATGGCCATTGTAGTTGATTGTGAGCAAGTACACGCGCATGGTTGATGAGGTGTTCTGCATCGCGAGTGTTTCTGCATCAGGACGTGAGCGCCCACTGTTGGTATCCCTATCACAGGGAAGTTGGTTCGAACCGTAGGGTCCTGGGGGTGACGAAGTATCAATATCTCTGTATTGATTGATTCTGCCTAAGGAGTAGAAGGGAGATTTCAACCGGAGGTTGGGTAGACCGTCGAGGTGGCCCCTGCTCTACCCTTACTCACGGTCGAATTGGGCTTCCAATCCGACACCCACACTATACTTTAGTCTTCTTACATCGACAGCAATAAAGGGTTACCCTTGCTACGGACTTTCGGTCTGTTGAAAAACCGCGTGACCGCACAGAGATAACTTCCTGGATGAAGACTTCATGTCTTCTCAGATCACTTCAGAGCATTGACTGTGAAGGCTCATTCGATGCTATCAGTATATACTGTAACAAATCACTTCAAAATCCCTCGCAAGCAATGGCATTGGTGTCTATTTTTTGATTAGTGACCAATTATACTGCGTTGACCAACAGCCTGTTGATGTCAATGGTAGGCGTGGCGCCAATCCGTTTCTAAAATTCGATGGCCCACGAAGAAGATGGCCATGGCTTAGGATAGGAAAGCGGGCAAACCCCAAAGTTACATACAAATATCGCTATGAGACTTAGACAACGAGTGTCTGGTGTAACTCATGGAACTAGTATACTTCCCCTGGCCCACCTCTTGAGGTGTTGTTGTTGTTGTTGTTCTATTTAACGCCATGGCGGCAAGGGCGCAGCCGCCCTTGCGGCAGACCTCCCGAAGGGTATGTGGCGTGAAGGGTCGCAGGCTCTAGCTATATACTATATAGTACACGCCGTATCCTGACGTCCTCCAAATCTTGCTCGTGAGCTACTATGTGTTCTATCCATCCCTAGTTCCCACTGGTGCTGTCAAGTTGGGATGTTGACGCAGGGTGGAAGCTCTCAGAGGCCAACTGCAGTTAGGGGTAGAATGATGAATTACTGAAGTCTGCTCCTCCCTCGACGTGTACTCCCTGCGCTGTATATATATCTGAGCTGTTCCTTTGTTGCTTGGACTCCTTACTACCTCTTACTAGCCCCTATCCGGGAGGGCTCTGACAGGTGCCCTAGTTCCGTTATAACCATCTGGTTTCTTAATAGAGGTAGTTTGTCGTTTGGAGGATAGGTTATGACCTATCTCCTAGTACCGCGGGCAGATCTTCTGGAAGAAGTCTGTCACGCAGAGGAAGGCCTGGAAGCCTTCAGAGTCAGTGATTAGCCCCTTGAAGTAGCGATCGAGGGACCCTATAGGTCCTACGGGCTCCTGGCGGCTGTAGGGGTAGAGGGTGGGCCACTGTTGCCTCCTCAGTAGGGTCTTTCGGCAGTAGACTAGATGGTCTGCCTCCTTAACCCATCCACAGGAGCAGGTGAGTAGTGCTTCTGTGTGGCTAAAGCGTTGGTGATATTGTTCAAAGTCCCCGTGGCCTGACCGTGCCGCGAGGAGGTGATGAAGGGCAGCCCTAGGGAGGCCAAGTTCAGGAGGGCAAGCAAGGGTAGCCTTGAGCCCTAGTTGGGTATAGCGGGGAGTTGCCTCTTGTTTCCACCATCGTCTATATTGGCGTCTTGGCTGCTCTTTAGCAAGCCACTTGATACCTGATAGAGTAGCTAGTTGGCCCCTAAGGACTGGTAGAGTTGTTCCCTCCTTAGCTAGGCTGTCTGCTTCTTCGTTTCCTTTAATACCTTGGTGCCCAGGAGACCAATGGGTTTGTATATCGTGTATCCTAGCTACCTCCTGGATCTCAAGGAAGGCCGCTTGTGAGGAGTCTGGGACCTTACCGCGAATCCCCTGAATAACGCTGGTATTGTCGATGCAGATGTGTATAGGCTGGCCTTGGGAGGTCTGAAGGGCCCGTCGGAGCCCAGCCCTCGCCCCCTCCGCCTCACCATCAAATACTTCTGCTAAGCCGAGACGGCCGCAGCCCTGGGCTATACGTTTATTGTTGCGGTAGATAACAAAGCCGAACCCTGTAGCCCCGTCAGGAGCTTTGGAGCCGTCTGAGTATACGACTGTATGCTGACCTGGCACAGTCTTGAGCCAGGCCTGGAAGATCCTAGCTGCTACTTCCTTCGTCTGTGTAACTATAGGGTCATAGGACCCTGGGAGGTATTGCGGCTGTAGGAGCGCTGGCCTTGGACACTTAGGTAAAAGGCAAGCTGTTCTTTGAAGCCTGGTCTGTTGCCGCCCTGACTGCAGCAGCCTTGGGACCAAGGGATGCTGTTGGTCAACCTTCTGCAGGCTTATAGCGAAGCGTAGTCGCGCTGCTTCGAGGGCTACCTCTGCTGTGGGAAGGCCAGCGTCTCGGATGAGGCTACTGGTCGGTGTGGTTCTCCAGACAGGCAGGATAGCCCTTGCTGCTGCTGTAATAACTTTGCTAAGTCTACGGGCCAGGCCCTTCTGTCCTGTACCAACTGTAGGTATCTGTAAAGCAGTGCTACTGCTAGTATTGGTGCCGCTGTTTAGGGCTGGTTTGGTTAGGCCCGCATACCAGGTCTCAACTCCATACAAGGCTGTTGGAAGGACACAGGCAATAACCGCTTGTCGTACTGCGGCTGCTGGGAGTCCCCCTTTGGTATTTGTTAGGTGCCGTAGGAACTGGGCTACCTTCTTTGCCGCTGCCACCTTAGTTTCGACATGGTGACGGAAGGTGAGTCTCTTGTCGAACCAGACTCCTAGCCATCGTACAGGCTTAGTTGAGGCCTTAATAGTTAGGCCCGTCGCCTGTATATCTGGTAGGTCTTTTGTCTGGTTATATTTCCTGCTGAAGTGGACTGCCTCACACTTAGCTGGGTCAAAAGCAACCTTGTTATCAGTGCCCCAGTTAAGGATATGAGTGATCTTTGGCCTAGGGCTATAGCATTTCCTTCTAGCGACGGGCTAGTAGCTACTAAGCCTATAACATCCGCATAGCCAAACCGTAGCTCTTGATCGTCGGCTAGGATATCCGCTAAATATAGTAAAAAGAGAATAGGGGATAGTGGGGAGCCTTGTGGTAGCCCACAGGATAGAGGGAAATCCTCTGTAGTTGTATCCTCTAGCCTGACCCGGGCTGCTCGGCTAGAGGTAAAGGTGAAGATCAGCCTAATCAGATGACTAGGCCAGCCCTGCTGTCGTAGCCTGATAATAAGTCG